CTGGGACAGGGGCCAAGCCCCATGCGATTCCTCACTGCCCTGTGCCCCCGAGGGTGTCTTTAACAAAGGGGCCAGGGGGCCTGGGCCTAGGCCACGCGGAGCTGTGAGGACTCAATAAGAGAACTCACGGGAAGCGCTGGGCACGGTGTCTAGTAAGCACGTGCTATGTCACGCTCGTCCGGGGCGAGGGGCGCCCTGAGGTCCACGCTCAGCCCTGAACCCCGGCTTCTTGAAGAGTCAGACACCCCGGCAGGGGGCTTGCTGGCTCCCAGTCCCTGACACTGCCCAGGACGTCCAGGGTGGAGGGGTGCCAGCTGGGAGCCCCCCGAGCCCCAGCCTCAGCACTGCAGGCAGAACGAAGCCGAGGCGACAGCTTCGGGGACACACACCAGGCAGAGGGTGACCGGACAACAGGTCCTGGAGGGGCCTCCCCAGTCCAGGTGCACGGCCCCAAAGCCGAGCTGGGTGACAGTGCCAGGGAGGAGAGATCATTCTGACCTCTGAAGAGTCACCTCACACAGCGGTGTCACCTCAGACGGGGCCGGGGCGGGGGGCGGGGGGGCCTTGCAGGCAAGCTGCCTTTCCTCGCCCGCCAGCAGAGTGAGGGCAGGGGTGGCCGAAGCCGCCCGAGGCCGGAGAAGCCGCCCCGCAGCGTCCGGCCCTGAGGCCTGCAGGGCTCTGGCCCCAGCTGTGCCTACCCACCACCCGCATCCCTCACCAAGGGGTGCAGCTCTCAACTCAGTTAAGTCCTTGATTTTTCATTTAATGGCCTCAATACCAGGAAGCTTAATCCTTTCTCAAGTGACACAATAGCAAACAGTTTTTTGGCTTCAGTTAAAATCATGCCTGTTACTTGGAAAACTGATAATAAACCAGTTAAGTACACATTTAACCACTGGATTCCTATAGCAATAAAGAGGAAACTGACAACATATACAAGGCAGAGACTTGAGCACTAATTTTTAATTCATTTTTTGGATACAATAATGAAGGAAACAAGTCTATACCGAGTGCTGTATACTAGAGACAAAGCTGTGTGATTTCATTTATTTGCAGATCTGCAAAAAAATAGGTTAGATTTATTTGGGGGAAATATTTTAAAATAATAATTGGATTAAAAAGCCCACGGCACCATCATAGGATTTTATCAAAAGGCTCTTGGCAAACCGTCCCAGAAAGAAGACTCTGTCCACGAAGGGCAGCCATAGGGAACCGAACAGCGGAGGCCAACATCCACCTCACGGTGAGCCTTAGAGCACTTCCCCCTCAGGTGGGGAGCAGAGCGAGGGGCTCCACGATCACCACCTCTGCTCCACACGGCACCGAAGGCCCCAGCCTGAGCCATCGCGCTGCGACTCCAGGATGCCTCTCGCAAAGGGATAGCGTGGGGATGGCCAAGCCGCACAGTGCGGAGACGCGCCCAGCGCCGGGGCAGAGCGGCTTCTCCAGGGCGAGGGCAGGGTGGGGGCAGGGCAGGGGCCGGGGCGACGCAGCAGCGGCTCACGGTTGGTGCAGGCGCCCACGGCCTCCTGGGGAAGACCTAAGGCCACACGTGACACCCACGTGTCGCCTCAAAACAAAGAACAGCCTTCCCTGTATCTATACTTAATTTAAAAAACAAAAAACCCTCATCAGCTGGCGGCCTGCCCTGCAAAGATGTCTTCTCCACGCTGGTCCACGGACCACCTCACGACAGACGCCCCAGCTCTCCGGGCACTGCCTGCTTCAGAGCCTTCCCGACCACAGAGGACAGGTGGGCCTTGTCTCACCAGTGTCTGCAGCCCCAGGACACAGCTGCCCATGCCTGTGGGCCCGTGCCCCCCTCCGCCCCCCGCCAAGGGTGTCCCTGCCAGGAGCTGCCACGGTCCCCAGCGTACAGCAGCTGTGCACCAGCACCAGGCACGAGGGGCACAGTCAGGCATTCTCGTCTCCAACGTGCCTGGACTCAGGAAGGGGGCTCTGGGGCTGGAGGACCAAAAAGATTGGCAGTGTCCCCTCCATCCCGCACAGGGGACAGGCTGGCCCCGCTCTGTTTGCAGATGTCATTCTCTTCCTAGGCCCTGTCCTCTGCCCCACCAGCTCGTGCGCCTGCTGGCTGACCCACAAACCATGTGGCCACGAGAAGAGGAGGCCGCGGTCAGCACAATGCGTGCCATGCAGCAGTCGCCCGGCAAACAGCTGCGCGAGCAACTGAGAGCGCCAGCGAGCGGCCCGGCCAGGGTGCAGAGGCCCAGGTGCGGAGGGGCCCTGCCGGCAGGGCCCGGCAGGGGCGGGAATCGACCAGGGCCTGGGTCAGCGCAGCCTCTGGCTGGAAGGCACGGCGAAGGCTGAGACCGGAGGCCTGCCGCTTCCAGGACAGCATTCCACAGGCAGCCGGGAACCGGTTCACCACCCCGCCCCCAGGCTTCCCTCCCTCCAGCCTGCCTCCCCGGTGCCAACAGCAAGTTGTCTGGCCAAGGCCTCTGTGCAAGAGGTGACAGCTAATCCCAGCACATTAGCAGGTCAGTGTAGGCTGACCAGGAAAGGACTCGCCCCACCTGCAACCTGAATGCCCAACACACACTCACCCTCACTTACTGCCTCGTTGGCTGAGAGCGGCATGCGTAGGCTGGGCCTGGCCCTGGGGGTTTGCACCCCTCAGGGCTCCTCTGTTGGAGCCGGAGTGCAGGCCTCTGCCCGGGTCTGTCCTGTGTTCCCGGGACTCACACCCCACCTGAGGGGGAGCTGCCTCTGCACCTGCCTCACCACGCCTATGCCACAAACTGCTGACCAGCAAAGAAAGGATCTGACGAGATGCATGCTTGCACCCCCCCCCCAAAAAAAACCCAGGTATCAACACATATGCGTGCAATGAATGAAAGTTTCCAACAACAAGAACAAAGAAACCAGCTGTGAGACACTGAACATAAATTAGATTCTGAAGAGTTCTGGAAGCCCATGACATTCAATTTCTAAAATAACTGTTTCACTCTTTTTATTATCAAACTAGAAAAGGCTAAGTTTGGGGAGGGGAGGGGACTTTGGGCTGCAGCCTGAACAGGGAGCAAGGCCAGGGAGAGTTGAGCAGCAGGAGAATCCCTGGGTCTGGGTGAGCTGTCTGTTTCCACTTGTTTCCAGAACAATGGAGCTCACCATTGACGTCAATGTACGTGAAGAAACAAAGGGACCTGTGGGTGTGTCCCCGCAGCCGGGGCTGGCAGGGCTTGGGGTGTGAGAGCGTGTGTGAGGGAACAGGGCGGGGAGTGTGTCCTGGCGTCCGTGCCTGAGAAGCAGGAGGAGGGGACCGGCACACAGTGGAGGGCGAGCCGCACAGCAGGCCTCCCGCGGCCAATGCGGGAAGACTTGCCCCGATGAACTTGGCATTTGCCCTAGTTTGCCTCTGCGCCTGACCAAGTTGCACACACTTCTCAAGAAGAGGGAGGGACGTGGTAAGAATTCCTGAATGTGGCTTTGGCTGCAGGCTCCCGAATCTTGATCGTCCTTCCCTCGGATCCCGGGTCCCCAGGAGAGGCTGGGAAGGAGCCTGAGGTCTGCGCAGGGAGAAGCTGCTGACCTCACCCCTGGGACGGCGAGTGCCCCCAGCCCTGCAGAGCCCTGAGAGCCTCTCCTCTCCCACCAGACCCTGCACTTCTCCAGAGCCTGCTGCAGCCCAGCCGCCTCGGAGCCTGCATGAGCATCACGTCCTACGCACACACAGTCTCAGCCCTCCACCAGGTCAGTCCTGACACTTTGCAGGGGTGTCCAACCTTTTAGCATCTCTGGGTCACACTGGAAGAAGGAGAAAGAGAAGAAGGAGAAAAGTTGCCGTCTTGGGCCACACGTTACATACACAAACACTAATGAAAACTCATGAACAAAAAAGAAAAGTTGTAAGTCAGTTTACGATTTTGTGTTGGGCTGCATTCACTGCCATCCTGGACCGCATGCAGCCCGCGGGCCGCGGGTTGGACACTCCTGCTACACAGAAGGCTGGGGGCTTAACATGCCCCAAACAGTATTTACGGAAAGAACAAACGGCCTCAGCCATTTGGTTCTCCAGGGACCAGGCTCTGCGTCTCTGTGGCTTGCACCTTCCTTCTGAAAGTCTTCCTTTCTCACTCACGCTCCTGGGAGCCTCAGGGGATAAGTCCAGGCCTGGTTACTTTTACCACCGCCACGCCCAATTCAGTATTTGATTAAGTTCTCTTTCCAAGAGAAGGTCCGTTCTCCTTAATGACGTGGGTCGGGGCAGGGACATCATTCATTTCCTACCTACGCATCTCGTAGTACAAGTGATCCTATTTCCTGAACCAAAAACGGAGACACACGGTCTAAAAAATAAGAAAGGCCCCTCGGAAGCTGACAGTCCGGGGAGATTTGGGACAAATGTCAGCCTTGCCGGCCGGGGTGGGCGTGCCCCGGGAGCTCCGGCGGGGCCGCCGGGTGTCGGTCCCCGGGGCCGCTCAGCGCCTAGTGGCGAATGAATGAGAGTGAGTAAATGAATGTGCAACGTGAATGAAAGATGTCCTCGGGGAGTTGCCTGCGGCCTTGGCCGCCGCGGACGCGCCTCTGGCCTGTCGCCGAAAGCGGCAGCCTCCCAGGTCCTGGGCTTCAGCGGGGGTGCGTCTGCCGGGCCGGCAAGACCGAGGTGCGTAGGAGCCGGCCCCGTCCCCCGCCCTGCGGTGGTACGCGCCACTCCGCGCTCCCCGAGGGCGCCGACGCGGGCTGTCTTGAATGGAAGACGCCGAGGCCGGAAGTGGAAGGGACCACTTGGGAGGACGAGGAGGGGGGCACGAGCACGCCTGGTCTTCATTGAGGAACCGACGCGGGGAACATGGAGTTCCATGTGCGTCTTATGTAAAGAGAGCGACAGGCGCCGCAGCCAATGAACGCACGACATTCGCAGGCCCGGCCTCCCGGTATGCAAATGAAGCGGTATCGCGGCCAATGGAGGGCGTCGGGGGCGGGCGCCGCGCGCGGTCACGTTTTCCACTATGTGACAGCGGCGAGTCAGCGACAGCGGCGGCGGCGGCGGCGGCGGCGGGCTGCGCTGGGGACGACGCGCTGCTCTCGGCGGCTGCGACAGCGGGCGCGGGGTCAGCGGACAGACGCGCGGGCCGACGAGCGGACAGGCGAGGTCGCGGCTGCACGGTGAGTGCGTGGCGAGCAGGATCGGCGCCGGGCTGGGGCGGTCAGTCGTGCCGCCGCCGCCGGCTTGCTGGTTACGTAACCGCCGCCGGCAGGCGCGGCCCCGGGCGGGTCAGGGGTCCGGGCGGACGAGCTCCGGGCGAGGGCTGCGGCGCCGCCAGCCCCCGGAGGCGCGATCTCGGAGATTCCTGGGCCACTGGAACCCCTGTCGGCTTGAAACCGGCCTGGGGGCGCAGGGGGCAGGGTATGTTATCCCGTTTCGCAGAGCAGGAAACTGAGGTTCAGAGAGCTGAGGGAAGCCATCTCAGGTCACAGAGCGCCTGTGGCCGCCAAAGCGGCCCGTGCTTCTCCAGATGACTTTCTCTCATGACCCCTCCCTCGTCCAGTGGAGAGAGGGCAGGGAAAGGTCAAGGCAGCCAAGGATCGCTGCGACTGCCCCTGGGAACCTGGGGAGCCCCGTGGGGAACTGGCTTCTTGCTCGGAGGCCAGGGAGCCACTTACCCCGCTGGGGAAGGGTCACGGGAGGCCGCTGGTCTCAGAGCCCTGCCTGGACGGTCCGTGGGACCCCTGGAGTGGGTGAGCAGAGGACAAGACGGCCTAGCAGCGCTGGGGGCAGGAAGGCCCCACTCATGCGCCCCTGTGCCCATGCCGGACTCCCGTTTTCATCCTCTCTCCCCGGGTTGGGTGGAAGGGGGGTCCCACTCAGCAGTACAGCTACCACACCATTCTCCGGGCGTGCCCTTTGGCTGCCAAGTCCTGGCCATAGGCAGGGGCAGGTGGCAGCCTGTTAAACTCTTCCGGAAGGCCACGGTAAGGGATGACAGCCCCGTTGCCATGGTTTCTGTAACCCACGCAAATAGACCAGTTTGGGAAGCTGATTCATACCCGAAGAACAACGGAGTCAGAAGGTACCCCGGAAATCATCCAGGGTAACCCCTGGGATTGGTGGATGAGGCCACTGAGGCCCAGACACCTGCTGGGCACACATCGTGGCCGGGCCGGGCCGGGCCCGAGCTCGGGGTGCTGCAGGGTCTTCCCTGCGTCCTGAGGGCATTGATCTGGTTTGGGGGGAGCGGTGGAGGTTCTCTGAAGGCCTGAAATTGGGTGCTGACTCCTGAGTGGGCTGGAGTTTGGGGTCAGGGGCCTCGGTCCCCCAAATGCTATGAACCCCAGCGTCATGGCAGAAGCCCCCGTGAGTACCTGTCACCTGCCCCGTTGGACACAGCAGGGCCACTGCCTCTTCCCTGGCTGCAAACCGGAGGCCCCTGCCCCCACCCCAGGGTTCCTGGTCCCAGGCTGGGTTTGACCGAGGATGCGGTGGGACTCTCCACCTGAGCCTTTCATTGGCCCCTGGGTTTTTAAGCGCAAGGCTCATCACTTTTTACAAGGTGCGTGGGCAAGATGGGAAAGGGACTCCTTTGTGGGTGGGAAGCTACGTGATCGGCCAACACAGGGACGGAGCCGTGGGTGTTCGCAGTTACCTGTCACCGTCATCTTGGTGTGATTCACTGGTCCAGAGCTAACGCGGCGCCGGCTCTCTGTGGAGGCCGGTGCTGGATGGGGTGGGGAAGGCCTGGCGCGGCCAGCGGCCGCTGTGGGTGACTCAGCCCCGCTCCGGGCCTCGGTTCCCCTATCTGTGAGGAGGGCTCCGGGGGAGCCATCTTTGAGGTCTGTTTCAGTTACTGGGTTTTTGGGTTCCTGTCACCCTAGGGGTGACGTCCTTCCCAGGCACCTACACGGATTTCTGACATGCTCCTCCTTGCCTTCAGGCCACATAAGGTTGCTCTGTACGGAGTGTGCCCTGGGAGGCTAGAAGGAAATAGAAAAGTTTCTTTTCATTTGTACGATTTCTCAGGTACACACTGAACTTTCAGAGAAATCTGGTCTCTGTTTTTAAATTATGATGTAACTTCACTGGTCCTCAGCAAACCGCAGGCTGCCGTGTCACTGAGTGGCTAGCAGGACCTCTCCGCATTGAGTCAAAAAAAGAGAGTGACGATGAAAACTATGTCTTCAGCAAACCTCCCTGGAAGCACATAATCCCAGAGCTGTGCAGAAGCCCCGTGCCCCTCCCTAGCGGGTGCTGCCCACCTGCACCCCCCCCCCCCCGCGGGGGACCTGATGTCCTGACAGGGGCCTCTGTCAACTCTTTGTGCTCCTTCTGGCACATCTGTAACAAGTTTGTTACTGCACTTCCAAGTCTACTGCAAATCGGAAGCAGTACGTGAGCAGGTGAGCAGTCGCTGGTCAAGGGCAGGGGTCATGGCCACTGGCCATTCTGAAGGCAGAGTGGGCTCCAGCCTGGGAGGCCTGGAGGGTCCCCAGTGCCTTTCCTGCAGGGACAGAGGGGAATAAGGACAGCTCTGCGTGCACAGGCCCCAGGGTAGCTCATTCCCCGAGGGCTGCAGTGGCGATTATCATGGTTTCAAATCAGTGCTGCCCCGCAGGAGCCGCAGGAGTCGCCAGGCAGGGCTTGGAGGGCTGGAGGAGCCGAGCGCGGCGGGTGCCTCTCCCCAGCCGCCTCCCCTCCATATTTGGACGCCGCAGTCACATTTTCCTCCGTTGCCCAGCTGTTGCCATGGAGAGCACGGTGTTTGTTGAGCAGGACAAACATTTTCTTCAGATTACAGCAGGCTGGCCTCAGGGACTTGGCTCCGACCGGGAAGGAGCGAGCGGGTTATAAATCTGCGGTTGTAAAACACCGCCGGCTTGCGGCCGCGCGCTCGGCTCGGAGATCCTGTTACGTAAAGTGCCGGGCGGGCGGTGGCAGCCAGGCTGTGAGAAGCCCAGCTGGTGGGGACCAGGGCTGGTGGTGGCTCAGAGGGTCATCGGGGGCTGGGGGCTGGGAACACGGGCGCTCAATTTGTGGACATACATCGAGCCGTGACCTTGTGATCTGGGACTTTTCTGCATGTACTTAACACTTCTGTTTCAAAAAGTTGATCACCTTCAGTGATGGAACTCAGGCTGAGTGCCACAAGGAAATGGACTCCTCCGTGGGCACAAGGCCCCTGAGCCAGGGCAGCCTCTACCCGCCCTGGGGGCAGCCACGGCAGATGGGATGGGGCCCAGGCTGTGCTACTGTTCTTTTTTTCTATTTATTATGGAAACTCTGAATGTGTGTGATAGTAGAGAGGACAGTGTAAGGAACCCCCACGAAGCCATCAGCCAGCGTCAGAGTTTCAGCTCTTGGCCCCCTCCCTCCAGCCCATCTCCCCGCCCCCCCATGATTGGGCAGCCCGGCCCAGACGATGACCTAACTGCCGACGGCACTTTGCAAGCAGCCCTCTGTCCAGCAGGTGCGACCCTTGCTGCCGGAGGTGTGGAGGGGTGACTGGAGTCCAGGGCCCGAGATGAGCGCCGTCCCTCGGGTCTGTCTGTTCCCCAGGGTGGAGCCAGTGTGTGGACGTCTGGGAACGGGTAGCAGAGGGGCCTCGAGGGGCCTGCGTGCAGGCTTGTGCCGGAGGGGCAGCCCGGCTCTCCTGGTGGCCACTTTCTGCCCGCTGTCATTTTCTCCCTGGGTCCCTGGCCCCCTGGCCCCTGAGCACCGCTCCTGGCAGCGGGGGCAGTGGGACCCAGGGTTCCCGAGGCCACCCAGGGCCCAGCAGCGCTGGCACGGGCAGATGCTCTGTAAACGCCTGCAGAAGGCAGGAGGCAAAGTCTGCTTCGATGGGCACTCTGGTTTTGCCGACTTGGCAGCAGGAAATCGATCCATGAGAGCTGCCGGTGCTGAGTGGCACTTTTCTGGAATAACGAAGTCTGGGGTAACTTGGTGTGGTACAGCTGTTTCACATTTCTGCCATGCTTGCTGACCCTCTGTGCAAAAAGATGGTCTTCTACCTAAGGCAGCCTTGTAACTCCCACTCCGTGAGCCCTGTGCAGACAGGCTGCCAGGGGCTGGGGCGTGAAAGCCGGGAGCCCCGCGAGGAGCTAAGCCAAGCTCCTGGGCACAGTGACAGCCGCGGGGTGCCTGCCCCCTGCCCGAGGGCGGCAGTGTGCCTGGGCAGCCGCTGCGCCGAGCCCTTTCCAGGCCAGCCGGGGTCAGCTCTCCTGGCGACGAAACACCTCCTTTTAAAACAAATGACATCTGTTACCGTGTCTTCCCTGCCGTGGTTGGCGGCGATGCTGAACGCTGGCCTCCAGTGACACTGATTGCGTCCCAGACACCGTGCATGGCCCTGTCATTTTGACACCCCCGCCTCCCCTGCCCCGGCAGCTGCTGGGAGGCAGGTGCTGCTGTGGCCCCATCCGACAGATGAGGAGGCAGGCATGGGAGGCTCAGGAACGTGCTCCAGCCCCCACGGTCGGGAAGCAGGGGTGGCGCTGAGGCCCCCACCATCAGGGGCTGCTCACGTAGCCACTCAGCCTTCATACTTCGCTCAGCAGGAAGGGCCGGCTGCGTGTCTGGGGGCTGCAGGGTGACATGGGAGGCGTCCAGGAAGCTGGGGGGCCGCCCCATGGAGGAGGGCCGCCCCCTGAGAGGCCTTGCCTCCTCCTGGCCCCACCCTGCAGCCCTGCCGAAGTGCGGGCCGGGTCTTGCCCAGCAGCCTCCGCCGTTCCCCATCTCCACAGAATGAAGCCAGGGCCCTGGCCCTGACCTCAGGTCACCCTCCCCTCGCCTTGCCCGCTCTGCTCCGTACCGGGCCGTCTTCTTCAAACGCGCTGCCACAGGACCTTTGTGCTGGCCATCCTGCCTCGAATGTTCTTCCGCTAGCATCCAGCTGGCCCTCACTGTCCAGTCAGTCTTAGCTGAGGGGCTTTCAAAGCAAAGCCAGACAGAGGGTCACACTTCCCTGGGAGGCATCGTCCCAGGCAGGGACTGCGAGGGAAGGAGAAGCGAGGAGGAAAAGGTGGGGGGGGGGGGAGAGAGAGAGAGAGAGAGAGACACACACACACACACACACACACACGCACACGCACACACGCACGCGCGCGCACCCTAGTGGCAAGGCCCTGCTTCACAGGCGCCCAGCAGGTCTCCTGGCCCCCGGGGACCTCAGCAGTAGGACCATCCAGAAAAGGGAGGAGAGGAGGATGGAGCCTCCGGCCAGGTCCCGGTCCCGGTCTCGGGACGGTGGGGCGGCGGGGGGGCAGGGGGGAGGGATGGAGGAGGACGGATCCACCAGCCCTCCCCCTCGGGCAAAGGTCACGTGTGATGTAATTGCCCTCAGGCCCAGCATCCTCGCAGGTCCTTTGGCAGCAGCTGGCGAAATGAGGACCCGCCCCACGGTGGGGCACTTCGTCCAAGGCCACACATGGTGGCAGAGCCGGAGACGCCAGGCAGCCTGCGGTGTGAAGCCAGAGGACCCTGCGGGGCTGTGCCCGGCAGTGGCTGGGGGGCGGGGAGCAAGGGGCTGCAGGCCTGGGGGAGTGAGGCCGAGGGGGTCAGAGTCCGCCCCTCACAGAGGGGCTCAGGTGAGAGGTCAGATGCCCCCTGCCGCCTACACATGGGCCTGGCTGCCCTCTAACACTGCCCCCTAACACTTCACACCTGCGGCTTCCCGCCCCTGCCCCCGCCGGCTGTGCTCCTTCCTCCTCAGCACTGTGTTGTCTCCTGCACACACGCCAGTGGTAGCCCTTCCCCCCGCCCCCGCCCCCACGAGACCTCCTGGAGGGCAGGAGGGCTCGGCCTTGCGCCCTGTGTGGTGCCGCCCTCAGTGCTGCCCGTGGTAAGAGTGAGCTGGCCCCGCCAGGCCGTGTCTAGACTCCGTGGGAGCCCGTGTGCACGTAGCCCGCCCCCACGTGGGGCCGGTGCGCACTGCTCCGGCCGGGCTTGTGTGCGGCCCAGCATTTCCCCCCAGCAGCGCGCCGTCCCTGTCTTTTTAACGGGTGCAGAGTGTGCCCCCGAGCCGCCCTCCGGCTGGTCTGTCTGCCACAGCCCAGGGTCCAGCAGGGAGCCACTCAAAGCTCCAACCGGGAGCGTGGACGGGTCAGGCAGCGTCGGTGCGGTGAGGAGAGGACCCAGGTGGGCACGGGTGCGGGGGGCGGAGGCTGTGCTGCTTGTGAGGGTGCACGGGCACAGGGGGGAGCAGCTAGAGTTGGGGCAGGCCATGGCGGGCAAGGGGGGCAGCTGGGGAGAGCAGGCACCGCTCAGTGCCTGTGGGAGGTGCGGCCAGCGCCCGGTGGCAGGGCCAGTTTGGAGGCTGAGGCTGACGGCGGAGGCCTGGGTAGCGCACGGACGGCCCGCGGGCTGATTCCCTAGGGCTGTTGTAGGTGCAGGTCCTTCTTGTGGAAGTGGCTCGTTCTCAGTCTTGTTCTCTATCTTGTCCCAGAGAAGTACTTTCACCCTCCCACTGAACTGGTTAGAACGTCCATGAAATGTGTAAAAAGACCAATAGCACCTGCATGTTTTGTCCCTGCCTTTCACCGGGACGTGGCGTCTTAGCTTCTCTGTGCTTCAGGGAACTGATAGGTGGCCGGCGGACACCCTGGTGAGCAGGTGTCTGGTGTCTGTTTTATCTGCATCGCCGCCCTTTGACAGTGACCTTCCCACTCAGAGCTCCGGGCAGGCTCGGCCTCCTGGAGGCGTGGCCGCTGCCCACGCTGCCTGGCTTCCCGGCCTGGGAGAGGACCTGACTGTTCTTGCTGTGTGGGTGCAGGGGCATTTGCTTTTCCACTGAGAACACCCTTTGTGATCAGACGCGGGGCCCCCTTCCCGCCGTTCTGCCTGCGCTCCCGGGGGCCTGTGACGGGCGGGGCCGACCTGCCCTCAGCCGGACAGCTTCCCCCACGCATCTTCCAGCCTGGTCTCCACTTCCCTGTTGTGGCGTCTTTTTCAGAAAAGGAAAAAGCAAGGCGTTCTCGTTGGCCTCCCAGGCAGGGAAGGCATCGTCTCCAGCACTGGCCCCGAACACGAGCGCCCTTGTCTTCCGTTCTTGTGTGACGTTTCCTTCCCAGCCTGTGGCTTTAGCGCGCCCTCCGTTGCCCGCTCGCCTGACCCCCCCTTTGCTTGGCTGTCCCTTGTGGCCCCGGCGGGTGCCCTTGCCCTCCCGTTGCCCCCGGCCCCAGGGCCGCCCAGGAGCGTGTCTGTCTGGCGTTGGCCCCTGTCTGTTTGTCTGTTTGTGAACGAGACAAGGTCTAACCAGACTGGCTGTTCTCCAGAAAGTGACGTGGTTGGTCTCTCCATGAGTCCCGTCTTCAGGGACAGGTGGGCCGAGACCCAGGGCCGTGACCTGCTGTGTGGCCTCGGGAGAGCCCCTCCCTGTTTCCTCACCTGTACTGTGGGACAGAGAAGGGGATCCTCTCCGTGTGAGGGGTGCTGGCTGTGGAACGGAACGGACTGTGTCGGGCCCTTGGCGTCGCGTCTGTGGCGCCAGTAGAACCTGTGCCCGGCCGGCGTCCGCTCTGTTTCCTCGCGCACGTGGAAGCTGCAGGACACGTTCTGCCTGCTCGGAGCCCAAGGCCGGCCTTTGGAGGCTGTGTCGGCGGCCCCCTCGCCCTCGGACTCCCTGACCTCTGGGCTCAGGAGGAGAGAGGTGGGTCCACGCCCCGCCACAGGAGGCCGGGTGCCAGCAGCTCCTCTCGCCCCGCGCCCGGTGCCCCTCCAGGCCGCGCAGCGTTTGTGGCTTGCCTGACCCTGACCGCACTTCCTCGGCCGGGCGGGGGCTCTCCCCAGCGCTCCCTGGTGGGAGCAGGTGTCTGCTTCCTGCCGGACCGAGGGCGGTGCCTCCTGGGTCCTCCTTTCTCCCTGCGGCACCTTGGGCTTCAGTCAGACCCCTGCCACCGCTGTGTCCCTCTTCCAGAATTAGCATGAGCGCCTTTTGGCTGATCTGGCTCAAACTTCGACCCCCTCCACCCACCCACCCCGAAAGCACCAAAGTTCAAGTTTCTGTTCAGCACAGCACCAGGTATCTGTCCAAATGCCAACTGAGTTACATCGGTCTGGTGCTTACAATGCTCCAGTGGCTCCTAGTTGCTGCCCGTTTTAGATGGATAAAGTGTAAACTCCCCGCTGACCTCCCTCGCCTCTGCACCCCACCCCCTCTGCACCCCACTCCAACCCACCTGAGTCAAGTGCTAGACGTGGCATCGCCTGGAACCGTGTGCTTCCCGCCCACACTGGCCTCGTCACAGGGGGATGCCTGCTCTCCACAGCCTCCCCCGTCCCCAAAGCCTCCCCTGCCCGCAGTCCGGCTTCAGGGCCTCCTGTGACGGGTGATGACCAAATTTCTGAACCTGGCTGCTCCCCCTATGCTCTGGGGAGATCCCAGACAACCTGCAAGGTCCCAAGCCTGCCAGCCATTCAGTGGGAGTGTGTACACTTCCCGTAGTTCCCTCGTGCTGGGCGGCGACCAACGCTCTTGTCACCTCCTGACGAGGCCATCGGCCACTCGGGGTCAGGGGCCGGGGCTGCCTGATTCAGTGCCGTCCTAGTTGATGGCAGGCGGGAGCCCAGTGACCGAGAGCGAATGAGAAAACCCCGCTGTGCCCGTGAGTGGCTGGCGACTGCCTGCTCTCTTGGCAAAACGGGGGAGGCCCTCGCCGGGCAGCACGCCGTCTGGCTGACGACACCTCACTCATTCATTCGCCAGCTTCCTTCAGGGCCGACATGAACGGGTTTGCGGGATTCGCCCCCGGCCCCAGCAGCCCCTCCAAGGAGCCCACGGCCCCGGGGGCGCCGCCCCAGGAGGACGTGGACATGAGCAGCGGCTCGAGCGGAAACGAGGCCGCCCACGAGAACTGCTCCACAGGGCGGGACTCGCAGGGCAGCGACTGCGACGACAGCAGCAAGGAGCTGCGGATGCTGGTGGAGCCGCCCGACGCCCAGGACAGGTAGGGCCGTGCCGCGCCGGCCCCGCGAGCCCGCGGGCCTCCTTTCGGCTGCAGCCCGATGGCTTTGCCATCTGCCAGCCGTGAGGATCGACTTTTGCCCCAGGTGTTTTGAAAACCTCGTTAACTTAGAATAACTAACGAGCACCTGGGGCGGCCCTTCCCCACCACGCCGCCTCTGCCAGTGCAGGTGGTCCGGTCGCCCGGCCGTCAGTTGCGGGTGTGACGAGGTCCTCGGAGGCGGCGTGTCAGGCAGCCCCGCCAGCGGGGACTTGCTCCTCTCGCCTTGGGTCTCCGAAGGGCTTCTGGTCCTGTTTGACCTTGACTTTGTGCTTCTTTTTTTTTAATTATTCTTTTTTTTTTTTTAAGATTTTATTTATTTATTTTTAGAGAGAAGGGCAGGGAAGGAGAGGGAGAGAAACATCCATGTGTGGTTGCCTCTCGCACGCCCACTACTGGGGACCTGGCCCCAACCCAGGCCTGTGCCCTGACTGGGAATTGAATCAGTAACCTTTTGGTTTGCAGGCTGGTGCTCCATCCACTGAGCCACACCAGCCAGGGTTTAGCCTTGTGTTTCTTATTACACTGTGATCCAGCCTGTTACGCTGGTTGCGGGGGGAGACGCAGACGCAACAGTCTCTGAGTTCTGCCATCTTTTGTGTCCTTGTAGTCCGGATGCCTTTAGCCTGATGCTGGCAAAGTCGGAACACAACCCATCCACCAGCGGCTGCAGGTGAGACCCGTTAGAACGCGCCTGACCGGGAGTCTTTGGGGAAACCTGGAGACCTGTCATTGGAGCTTGGGTTCTGGGGGTGATGTGGCTTGTTTACGCTTCTGCTCGGACCTGCTAGTCTGTGTTGGGGACCCAGCAGGCCCCTTCAGACACCGCGGTCCCCGAGGGCTGCCCAGAGCCCCCATGTTGCTCTGGGTCTGCCACCCCCCAGTTCCGCCCCAGCAGACCTTGTCCATGTCTGAGGCATGTTCACCGGAACTTCCTTACCCTGTTGAGATACCTGTGACAAATGTATCCTTAGTTCCCTATCCAGACATTGTCACACCCTCCTGGAACAAGAGCCAGCTCTCGGTCCTGGGCACAGGCCATCAGCAGACACCTGGAGAATGTCGTTCTCTCGGTGCCTCCTGCTCTGCACGGGTCCGCCCCCCTCTGCAGGTGCCGTCTGCCCTGCCCCGGGCTCTGCTCCGCAAGTTCGAAGGCCCTTCTATGCATCCCGTCCCCTCTTGGGGGCCTTCCTGGGCTCACTGCTCACGCCCACGCCCCAGCAAGCCGCTGCTGTCCCCTGTGCTCAGCATCATGTAGTCCTTTTCCAGCTGAGACAGACAAGGAAGGCCCAGTCCAGCCGCTCGTCCGCTCAGCCAGGCGGGGCTTGACCTGCAAGCCTCGCTGGGCGCGGCCCGGCCGTGGGGCAGAAGAGCCAGCTGGAGGATGTCTTGACTTGACGCTTGGGTTAAAGCAGTGGTTCTCCACCAGGGACGAGTCCTCTCCGGCAAGAGACATGACAATGTCTAGGGACACTTTTGGTTGTCACAACTGGTGAGGGTGCTGCTGGCCCCCAGTAGGTGCTAACCTGAAAATAAAAGGCCAGAGCACGAGGCAGTGGGCGTTTATTTGAGAGTCAAAAGAACAGCTGTTCAGGATGCCCCGATGCAGGCAAAGCGCTAGCCAGTGTTGGGTTAGGAGGCAAGGGCCAGGGGTGTTTATGGGAAGGGGCAGGGGCGTCACATCAGCAGAAGGCGGCGTTTCTCTCCTGAGCAGATAAGGTAACACAGTGACGCGAACTGTAAACAGTGTTTCCAGCGTCCAGCCTGGGAGCTACACTGTCGCTCTTTGCGGCCTTTGTAACCAGTGCTTTGGGACACAGGCTGCCAGTTTCGGCGCTCCAGAGGCTTGACGGCCAGGAGTGCAGGGCAGTTCTGTGGCCATGGCAGCTCCGACTCCATGTGCAAGCGGCTCCGCTCGTATTATTGTCATTTGGCTGAGGCCAGCGGTGCCACCGCCCGCCTTGCAGGGCACTGCCAGGAACTGTCCTGGCACCCAGGACCGAGGGCCCTGGGCCTGGCTGAGAAACTGGACCAGGCGCCTTTCTTCAGAGAAGGGCCAGGAAGCGAACGTCTGACGGCCTTTCTTTCCCCCCACAGCAGTGAGCAGTCTGCCAAGGCCGACACGCACAAAGAGCTGATCAAAACGCTCAAGGAGCTGAAGGTCCACCTGCCCGCTGACAAGAAGGCCAAGGGGAAAGCCAGCACGCTGGCGACTTTAAAATATGCCCTGAGGAGTGTGAAGCAGGTGAAAGGTACGTCTGCTTCGGGTGTCTGTTCCAACCTGAAGACACAGCCTCACCCCCCACCGCCCCAAGTTAGGGCTTGGGCCGCGCTGGCTCTCCCTGACACGGAGGGAGGAAGTCAGGAGTCCGGTGAAGCTGTCCCGATTGGAAGCCTCTACCCACCGGAAGTTTTCCGCTGGACTAGATTTGTAGAGGAAAAGAACGAAGCAGGTAGAAAGCCAGCTGATAGAAGAAGCCTGTTTACGAGGTAGCGCTTTGGTGCTCTGGGTCGGGTCATGGTGAGGCAAGGACAATGCTGCCGCGTCCCCCCAGGCTCTGGCCAAGCTACTGGCCCGGACGGCCTGGCAACAGGAGCAGCTCGGAACGGAACTAAAGCAGAACACCCCCAGCAGATGGCTGAGGACTCGCCCGCCGTGGAAAGATAGCACGAGGGGTTCCCGGGTGAGGGCGGGCACAACTCGTCTGGGAAGGACCGCGCCTCAGCGCTGCCCCGTGCGGGGCCTCGGGCTGCCCGTCCCTTGCCCACCTGGGACCGTGGGAGCTGCCGTGGTGGCAGTCCTGGGGCCAGGAGGCAGGCGGGCCCACGCCTGCTTCCGCCACAGGTGCACGCGCAGTAGCAGGCCTCTGCCGCCCACCCTCCCCCCACCTGTAGGCATGTCTGGGTTTTATCATTAGCTTTGAGTGCCCGTCAGTGCACCGAGGACGCGTTGCAGAAGCCTCCTCCACAGGGCCCAGGAGCAAATGCTGCCAGTGCCCGAACCTGTGCCTGCCGAGATCAAACACTTCACATGTCTGTCAGCTGAGCCCCTAAGCATCCCCCTTCACCGGGTGCTGCCCCTGGACAGCTGCCCGTCCTGGGCCTCAGGTCCCCACGGCGCCCCTGGCCCCAGGCTGGGACCCCACGCTCAGGGCTGTCTTAGGATGGTCCAGCCGTAGAAGGCGGTCCAGAGGCCTGCTGCTGAGCCTGGGGCGGGGACCCGGGAGGTTCTGGAGCTGTCCTCGTGCCACAGAGAGCCAGCCGAAGACAGGGGCAGTGCACACGTGTGAGGCCCTGGTCTCCCAGCCGCGGGCGCTGCGGGGACCCTGCTCCCTGCAATGGAAACCGCCAGCCCCTGCACATGGAGGGACTTCTGAGCTCCATGACCCTCTGTGACGAGCCAGCTGAGTCCAAAGGAACGTCAGCACCTTGGTGGGCAGACGCGGGAGCCCGCCTGACGCTACCCCCTTTACCCTCATGTATATGCTTCAGGCGTGTGCCCGGGTCCTGGGGACAGCGCACATCAGAAACGTGTGTGAGAGTAGCTGAGGTGAAAGTGGCACAGTGGCTTTACTCTGTTAGCGTCAGCTACTGTCCCTGCAGCCAGGGCAAAGTCTGTCACTAATAATGAGGCGACAAAGCCACACTTCAAAGTGTTCGCATTGTCTAACGCCTGGACGGCTTTCGTGGAGGGGGCTCGTCTGTGAGGTCTGGCTGGGATGGGGTGTGAGGCGTGGCAGGCGGTCGTGTGCCGGTTCACATGGCCTCCTGGGGGGCCGTCTTCAGCCCTGTGGCTGTGGCCGTGTCCCCAGCGCCATGCCGGGCGTTCAGAAAGAGTGACCCTTGTCTTTAGGGTCTGTCCTGAACATGCTGTTCCACGGGTCGTTCCTCGGGCCGGTGTCCTGAGCAGTCGCTCTGTCTGCATGGGTGTCCGGCCAAGGCCGCCCGGGAGGCAGAGCAGGGGGCTGCCGCAGCCGCTCTGCAGGGAACTGGAGACCTAGTTCCAGGGCCGACGACCTTGTGGGGGACAGTGAGCGCTGGGTGGAACTCGGTGGCCACGTGGTTTAAGATGCTGTGTGCTTACCGTGTGAGAACTCTGTCCCTGGAGGCTTTCCGACTCCCAGGGCAGAGCCCCGGTTCCTGCGTGTTCTGCCCGTGCCATTCTCCGTGCCCTGCGCCCTCGGTGTGCGGGACGCAGGGCTCCCAGCCCGCCTGCCACCAGGCAGCGGCGGGAGTCAGGAACTGTGCGTGGTCTCTCCCGCAGCCAACGAGGAGTACTACCAGCTGCTCATGGCCAGCGAGAAGCACTCGTGCGGCGCGGACGTGCCCTCCTATACCCTCGAGGAGATCCAGAGTGTCACCTCCGAGTTCATCATGAAGAACGCGGTGAGTGCACCGCGGGGCATTTGCCTTCAGCCAAACCCCCGCCCGCTGCACGCCTGGCAGGCGGTTCGACGGCAGCAGAGGGTGGCGTCTCGGGAAGCGAGTTCAGACCTTAAAGAAAAGAATGTAAAGTCCGTGGTTCAGAGTAGAGTCCTGTCTCAGACGCCTCTGAGACACTGCCCCCTCCTGGCCACTCCACCCCGTGCCTCCCGCAGGGGAGGACAAGCTTGCCTGGACGGAGCACCTTGCCCCTGCAGGCTGAGGATGCCCCAGGGGCCTTTGGTCACCGTTTAGGGCTTCGTGGGTGGTGCCCTGAGATTGGAACTCGGCTTCGTGAGACTGCGAAGCTCACGTGTTGTCGAGTGGCTCATAAAGGAGGGGCCTGTGGAGGTCTGTGGAGGGGACGCGGGTCAGCTGTGCCCTGCACCCCCAGGTCTCAGGGAGCAGAGAGCAGGGCAGGCGACCGGGCCCCGGCACCGTCCCACCGCCTCCCTCCAGCACCCCGCCCCCACAGCCCTCAGCTCAAGGGGCACGGAGCCCCCAGCAGCCCAGGGGAGGGACATGCCAGCCCAGGGGACAGAGGAAGAGGGGTGCGAGGCCCTTCCCCTCCAGTCAGCCGAGCCCAGGCACCGGGGCCCATGCCCAAGGGTCCCGAGTGGGCGGCCCCGGGAGTCGGCTCCCCTGGGTTCCTTGGGGCGGTGGAACCCGATGTGGTTCTTCAGACACCGCCCTGTTTGGACCCCACTGTGGGGAGGGAAGTAGAATTATTCTGGTCGGGGCTGGGGACGGGCCCAGAGGCCCCCAACCCTCCACACTGCCCACCCGTCACCTGCCCGGAGTCTGTGCCCCTCCCGTCGGCCCCCTCACCCGTACCTGTGCTCCCTTCCAGGACATGTTCGCTGCGGCCGTGTCCCTGGTCACCGGGAAGGTCCTGTACATCTCCGACCAGGTGGCCTCCATCTTCCACTGCCGGAGGGACGCCTTCCGTGACGCCAAGTTCGTGGAGTTCCTGGCGCCCCACGACGTCAGCGTGTTCCACAGCTCCACCACACCGTACAAGCTTCCGCCCTGGAGCGTCTGCAGTGGGGCAGGTGCGGGCCGCAGGGTGGCCCGGGGGGGCCGGGGTCCGCCGGCCACCTCTCCCCTGCCGGAGGCCAGCGCCGCTGCATGGCCGCCCTCTGTCCCAGGCGAGAGGTCCAGAGGTGTTTGTCTGGAGTCGGCCTGCAGAGAGAAGTAGCGTTTTCACAGAATCAGAGAGGGAAGCACGCCACAGAGGCTCCTGAGCCACGGGGCCTCCGGAAATGAGGGGGCCCTGCGCAGCGGGAGCGTGGCCGACCGGGTGGGCCTGGGGCGCCGGCGGGGGCTCCCGCCGGTGGCCGTGCCTGCCGTGTCCTCTCCAGTGGGACTGAGTCTGGGGGCCTCGGACGCATCCCCAGGACCAGTGTGGGTCCCGCCCAGAGTAATCGGGCGGGACTGAGTGGCCAGACGAGACTCAAGACTCGGCAGAAACGTGGCTGGGGGTCCTGGCAGCCGGGACCGCAGGAGAGCAGCCCCCCGGCCCGGACCCTCCCGGCAGCCCCTCCAGCTGCAGGGACCGGGGGGCCGGCAGGAGGCCCCCAGTGAAGTGTCCGTCCTGCAGCACTGCCCGCCTGCACCTGCGGGGCTCGGGCTGCAGAGCGGAGGTCACACAAGGAGCAGGAGCTGCAAGGGCCCAGAGGGGCACCCGGCAGACAGAGGAGGACGGGCCCTCGGCCAAGCTGGGGTTCGGTCACCGACAGCCCGAGACGGCTGCCCGCCCCGCCCGCACCCTCTCCGCCTCGTCGCGCAGGCCCCGGCCCCGCCCTGCCTCCGCCGCAGCTGGACAGCGGCCCCTTGCTGACCGCAGGCACCCGGGCCCAGAAGCACAGCTGGCTCCGGGCTTGACTCACGGACAGGGGACACTGGCTCTGGCTCCAGATGTAGAGCCGCCCCCGAGCCCCTAGGACGCTGCCCGAGGACCGCCGGTCAGACGGCGGAGCACGCGGGGCCGGTCACTGCGCGGGAGGGACTCCCGGCGGGAGCAGGCTGGCCCAGTCCCTGAGGGGCGTGGCAGGTTTTTGCCTGAATAAAAAAGAAGGATCCGTTGGCTCCTCAAAGGCCGTTCCCAGCCGGCCGCTGTGGGCTGCGTTCCCTCGTTTTGGTGCAGCAGAGGGGGCTTGGCTGAGAGGCGGGCGTCCGGACGCCCTTTGTTACGGAAATGCTGGCCCCGTCTGTGCCGGGGCCCTGCCACTGACCCCCTGCTCCGACTGGGCGCGTTCCCACAGAAGTTACCAGGGGGACTGATGCGGCTTGAGATGCTGGGAGCCGTGTCTGTCAGAATTGAAGGTCCCCCAAGCAGTTCGGTCGCGGTGTTTATGGCCTTACATGCAAAAGCCCTGCCCATCGGCCAGTGTGTCTGGCAGAGTTACATTTTCCGTTGGTGTGTCTGTAGCAGAGTTTGTGCTGTTCCCAAAGCGTGGGACACCTGCTGCCAGCTGCAGTGCGCACCACGCTCGTGAAGTGAGCCTTCGTTTTAGCCAGCGCTGGGGTAGACGCTCCCCAGGCCGGCCCCGCCCCCTGCACTGGCGTCGCCCCTCAGCGCTGAGTCTGCGGCCGGCTTGGGTCCAGGAGACCACAGGGCGCCGTCCGCGCTTAGAGGGGTCATCGGGTGGTGACTTGGGGATCTCTCTTCCAGATTCCTTCACTCAAGAATGCATGGAGGAGAAATCTTTCTTCTGCCGCGTCAGGTAGGCCTGGCTTCCTAAGCTGGAAGCAGCACAGCCATTTCATCCTGACCCCCTGGTGGGACGTGGAGGCGGCCCAGGCGGCCCCCCCCATGTCCCTGCCTCGCTGGAGGCAGGCGGGGCTGCGAGCCTGCCTCTGGGACCGGGCCGCGCAGCACGCGTCGCTGGGAGCTGGGCGGCAGTGCAGGCAGGGCCACGGGCTAAGGCAGCGTGGCCGACACCAGAGGGATCTGGTCCTATCTTCACGGAGCTCCTCATGGAGCCGGGACACTGGCCAGAGGGCCTCGCCCAGGGAGACGTCGGCCCCGGGGTCCCCGAGGACCCCGAGAGTGTGTGCAGGCGTGGGTCTGCGTGGGCCTTTTTTGAAAAAGAGCATTTTCCCAGGGACAGCGCAAGGGCTTCTCAGCGGGCTTTTGGCCTGAATCCAGGCCCCCCACTGAGCGCCCACTGCCGTGTCGGGGCCCCTCCCAGACAGCGGGGCCTCCAAAGGCGAAGCATGGTGGCCCCGCCTCCGCCTCCGTTAGAGCAGCGCCCCTTCCCCCATTGAAATGCAAGCGGCCCCAGAGACGCTGCAAAGCCTGCTCACTGCTCACTGCTGGGCTGGCGCCCCTGCCACTTGGCTTTGAATGTCACCAGAACCCTGAGGGAGGGACAGAGGAGCCGGGGGTGGGGGTGGGGAGGGGGTACGGACCCGGGCCGAGGGCAGCCTTCCGGCTCCGTCCATGGGCGTCTGCTCCACCGGGAAGGGGTTGCTGAGAGGTGACAGCCAGCTGCGGAGGAGGGGGCCCGCGTAAGGGACCGTCCCTCCGGCCCTCACGCCAGCCTCTAACGGCGTCCTCCCCTCCAGCGTCGGGAAGAGCCACGAGACCGAGGTCCGCTACCACCCGTTCCGCATGACACCTTACCTGGTCCAGGTGCCGGAGCAGCAGGGCGCCGAGAGCCAGCTGTGCTGCGTGCTGCTGGCCGAGAGGGTGCACTCGGGCTACGAAGGTGACGGCGGGTCCCCAGTCCTCTGTCCCTCCCACGGGTCAGGCCCTGGTCTGCGAGTGGGGCTGCCGCCCGGCTTCCCCCTGCCCCGTGCAGAGTCTCCTGCCCCTGGAGGCTCAGCACATGCACTTGTGCCACCCCCCTCCTGGGGCCCTGCCCCGCGCCCCCCCTCCCCTGCACAGCCACAGGGTCTGCGCGCCGGCAGCCGTCACCCGGGCCCAGGCCGTCACTGTGACCGTGGGCGTCCTCCGCACCCCGCACCGCCCCGGCCGCCGCCTCCTGTCCGCATAGTGCGGTCTGGCGCCCAAGTCTCTCCCACACGTGTGCCCCCCCGGACCCCAGCCCCAGGCCCACTGACACCAGGGACGCCAGCCCCACTCAGGGCGCGAACCGCCCCTGCTGGGCCGCCCCACCCGTACCCGTCTGCCGGCTCCCGCCGATGGCGGCCCTGGCCCCGAGCCTTCCCCTGCTGTACCTGCTCCTTGTGCCCCCACCCCCACCCCATCTCTGCCCATAGCAACCCAGCCACCGCGGCAGGTGGGCTGGTCTCGCCGGGTGTCCTTCCCCGGTCCTGCTGGCTCCTCAGGCCGCCTCTGCCCCCTAAACCCAGATCTGGGTTCTTCAAGGCACTTTGCCGCACTGACCCCGCCCTCCCAGAGCCCTCGCAATAGGCTTACGACAGGTCTCCTGCTGGCCCAGCCCCGGCCAGGGGCCAGAGTCCCCGGACAGCAGCCCCCAGGGCCCAGGCCTTCGGCTCGCTGTGCCCGTGACCCTCTCTCAGCGGGTGGCTGTGCCTCTTGTACAAAGGCGGTCTTCAAGCAGTAGGAACGTTCTAGGTCTGTGGCGTCTTTCAGCTATTCGACAGGTTCCTGCGCGTGGAACGTCACCTTCCAAGTGTTCCCTAAAGGGTTAGAGTGTCACTTGGGTTTCCGCAGGTCACTCCCCCAAGCGACCAGAGTCTCCTTCATGAAGGAAGCGTTTGGAATTGAGTGTTTTGCCCATGAGTTTGGAAGTTGAGAAAAGTTCTGGATACACGAACTCCTCTCTGCACGTTACCTTTGCCCACCTCGGGGACTGTGAAGTCCCGATACGGTGACGTTTGCTGAGAAGATTGAGTCCAAATGCTTAACTCAGTTTTAAAAAAGATTTTGTTCAGTTCATCTTGTTGGATCTTGAAAAGCGTGGCTGGCGGCAGCCCGGCAGCCGGAGTCCCGGGGAAGCCAGTGCGTCGGCGGTCGGTGTACAGCTCAGCGCACAGGCCGCCTGGCCTCCCGACGGGCTGGTCCGCGGGGGCAGGGCAGCCGGCCGGGGGCCTCTGGCTGCGGCTGAGCCCACTTGCCCTCTGTTTGGCCCCCGTCACTCAGAAGCCAGGGGGTTTCTAGGAGTTGTCGTGTAATTGCGTTGCGTGTGCATGTCTCAGGATGAGACATTTGAACAAAATTCTATTCTTTCAGCCCCTAGAATTCCTCCGGAAAAGAGAATTTTTACGACCACACATACACCCAATTGTTTGTTCCAGGACGTGGACGAAAGGTAAGCCCCGTGGTGCTGTCCCTGCTGCCCACGCGCTTCGCGCGCCTGTCTCAGAAGCCGCGCTGCGTCCTCAGGCCCGCGGGCCCCTCACGAGGCCCTCAGTGCCCCGCGCTGTCTTAGTAGCCACCTCAGGACTGAGGAGGCTCAGTGAACCAGCACGGTTTCGATGTCGAAGGCGCTGAGCTGAGCCGAGCCTGCGTGTTGCTTGTGGATCCGCGGCCACGCCCGAGCCTGTCCAGGCAGCGCTGAGAGCCCCCGAGGCGCGGGCCTGCCAAAGGGACGCTCGCCCAGGAGCTGCGTTCAGACTCATTTCAGTGTCGGACAGAGCCAAACCCTGGTGCAGGCGGGGCCGGACGCCGGACATGCCGGGAACGGCTGCCCACGCGGGCGTCGGCCGGGGTGCCTCAGCCGCCCGAGTGTGGGCGCCTGACAGGGGTTCTGGGCTCGTTGGCCTGCGTGGGCCCTGCCTCCCCGGCTCCCCTCGCACAGACACAGGGGGGCAGAAAACGCCCCAGGCTCCGGCTGCAGTGGGGGCGGGGTGCACTCAGGTGATACCCGGGAAGCAGGAAGCAGACTGAGCGGCACCAGCAAGCCGAGCTCCCCGAAACAGGCCACGGTCGCCTCCACAGACACTGTTGGGAGTCAGGCCCTCCCCACTGCCCACCCCTGGGCGCAGGCCGCGGGGCCTCCTGGGGAAGGTCTGCTCTCAGGCCGCCAAGGCCCAGCAGCCTCCAGCTCCGGGCTGCTCAGGTGCTTGCTGCTGACCACCTGGGGCGGGCGGGGGCGGGGACGGAAAGCTCCGGGCCCACAGTCCGCACAGCTGACCTCGGTGCTGCCTCCTTCCCTTCGCCGTTCCTCCCCCTCCCAGTTTTCCTCCTTTTCCTCCTCCCCCACTTCCTCTTCTTCCTCCCCCTCTTATGCCTCCCCCTTCCTTCCTCTTCCCTTTCTTCCTCCTCTGCTACCCCCGCCCTCCCTGCCGGGCCTGGAGCTGGGAGAACACCAGGAACATTCTGTACATCCGGCCAAAGGAAAACACGAGGCCTGAGAGAATTCCGTACCCCGGGGGGCAGGGGGAGGGCTCGTTCTAACCCTCAAAAGAGAATGGCCTTCCACGTGAGCAGAAGAGTTTGGAAAACATCTGTGTGGGCCCAAGAACACTGGCTCGGAAGAAGGCCGAGCTGTCCCTTCAAGGAGGGAGAGCGGCTGAGCTGGCAGAGGGCGCTGGACAATAGTGGGGACAGGACCCCGTGGAGGCAGGAGGGCTCTGCAGAAGCTGGACATAAACATTTCTCAGAAAAGAAGCTAACAGCTCCCGTGAGACCAGTGGGCCCAGAGGGCAGGTGTCAGGCCAGAATGGCGCACCCAGGGAGCCACAGTACGTGAGACTAGAGCGGGAGGCCCTCCTGAGCCGGCGAAGGCGTGCAGACGGGTCGCCAGGGGCAGGGGAAGCCTGTCAAAAGCAAAACCGCACCAGGCCGCTCCTGGCCAAACTTGCAAAACCAAGAAAGAGAGGGGTCCAAAAAGAAGGAAAAGAAAGCACTTTTATGACCAGTCCCCTCAGGAAGGAGACACAGCCGAGGCCCTCAGCGTGTGCAGGGCGGGACCTCGCAGGGCGTTGGTTTGTCCTCCAGGCCCGCAGGGGGGCGTCATCTTTCCCTGACCGGCTGGGCGGCAGGCCGCTCCCCGTTAGCCCACGTCCCAGCACCGATCCTTGGGGACCCGCGCCCTGCCTCTGTCCCGGGGACGGACAGCCATTCCGGGGGTGGCCTGCTGCCTGTTTGGAGGCGGCACCGTGGCCGCGTCCCCGTGCGCTGCCGCAGCGATGACCTCCGTGCGCGCTTGCCTTGCAGGGCCGTCCCCCTCCTGGGCCACCTACCTCAGGACCTGATCGAGACCCCCGTGCTTCTGCAGCTGCACCCCAGCGACAGGCCCTTGATGCTCACCATCCACAAAAAAAGTAGGTCCCCTTCTCCTGGTCCCTCCTGAAGGCTCCGCCGAAAGCCGGCGCGTGCCCGGGCGCCCTGAGCCCGGCGCCCGGGGGAGACGGGTCGGACCGGCTTGCGGCCCGCGGAGGCGGGCACCCCACACCTGCCCCGGGCCTGGCACTGTCCACGGGGTCCTTTGTGGTCCACGGCCTTGCTCTCACTGTTGGTGTCCCCGGCGGTTGGGGGAGGGGCACAGGGGCCGCTGGGGCAGGGAGCGAGTGGCCAGGCCGGGGCAGCAGGCGCTGCAGGTGCCCCCAGGCCCAGGCCTCACAGGCCCAGGCGCTGCTTGGAGGAGCCCGTGAAGCTGGCAGAGCCCTCGCCCGGAGGTGGGCGACGCGGCCGGAAACCACCCTCTGTTGCGACCAAAAGCAAAACGGGAGCTTGAGAGCCGCCTCTCGGAGCAGGGGCTGGCAGCGCGTGCCTTTGCTGCGGCTGCGCACTCGGGCCACCCGGACTGTCCCCTCCCGCAAGCCGGGCTGCTGCCCGCCCCGAACACGGTCTCCTCTCCCAGTTGTGCAGGCCGGCGGACAGCCCTTCGACTACTCGCCCCTGCGGTTCCGCGCCCGGAACGGGGAGTACGTCACGCTGGACAGCAGCTGGTCCAGCTTCATCAACCCCTGGAGCAGGAAGATCTCCTTCATCATCGGGCGGCACAGGGTCAGAGTGTGAGTGCCCCCGGGGCGGCCCCGGCTCCCCAGATTCAGGCACAGCTGGGAGTTGCGGGGGGGCAGCCAGGGCTCTGCGGGGAGGAAGCGGGGCCCCGCGGGAAGTGCGGCGCGGCCCGACTGACCACCGACGTCACACAGGGGCCCTTTGAACGAGGACGTGTTCGCTCAGCCGTGCACGGAGGAGCAGCCGCTGCACCCGGGCACTCAGGAGCTCACGGAGCAGATCCACCGGCTGCTGCTGCAGGTGGGCGTCCGGCTGCTGCAGGGTGGCGGCCCCTCCTGGTGGGCGGCCACGTGATGCCCTGAGTCCTGGGGTCCCGTCCCTGCCCCCCACTCCACCCTGCACCCTGAGGCCTGTCATCTCTCCCTGGGTGCAGCCGCTGGGTGATGTCCATGCTGGGCCCGGACAGTGAGCGCACCTGCCGCCCCCTCAACCCCAGCCTCGTACTCTGGGGGTGTCTGTCCCTGGCCTGTGGTCCTGAGCTGGCGGCAAAGGACACACCCAGACCCTTGCTCCCCAGCTCAGCCCCCAAGTCCTGGGCCCTGACCCCAGGTGTGACCTCCCACGTGTCACTGAATGGAAGTCACTCCAGCCTGGGACGCTGCACTGGTACTGGGAGGGACTTGAGAACAGCTGCCCCCATCCTCGGGGACATGGTGCTCACGAACAGTTAGTGCGGCCACCATGGCCCTGTGGCCCAGCAGCTGCCTGCTTCCTGGTCAGCAGACTGTGGGAAACAAATGCTTCAGGCTCGGTTTCTAACACCCCAGAAGGAACCGAGATCGGCCTGTCCCATGTGAGCGGGGAGGGAGGAGGATGAAGTCCCTCCTAGTGGGGTCGCCCCACAAGCTGGGATCCGGGGGCTCTGGTGCTGCAGAGGGAGGCCGAGAGCCCAGTGCGGCCTGACCCTGGGTGCCAACATGGTGCCACCTGGTCCTCGCGCAGCACCCCGGGCGGGTCGTGGCCTCCCTGTGAACCTGGCCGCGGGAGGGCAGCCCCAGGTGCCGGCCGTGCCGCCCGCCCTGACCAAGGCCCCATCCGCTCTCCCCGCAGCCTGTGCCCCACAGCGGTTCCAGCGGCTACGGGAGCCTGGGCAGCAACGGGTCCCACGAGCACCTCATGAGCCAGACCTCCTCCAGCGACAGCAACGGCCACGAGGACGCGCGCCGGCGAAGAGCCGTGGGTCCCTCCCCGTCCCCGTCCCTGTGCCCATGCCCGTGCCGTCCCTGCCCCCGGGCCCGTCCCCAAGAACCCATCTGTGGTGCACGAGCGAGTCCCAGCGCGTTGAAACAGCGCCCGCTGGTCGCTCTGGCGGCCTCAGGCGGCTCATTGTGGCCTCTGCTCCCGGGACTCGCTTCACCTCCCCGTGAGAGCTGAGGCAGCTGACACTGTGGCTCAGGTGCTGGGTGAGACGCACGTAAAGCAGGCAAATCAAGGAAAAGGGAAGCTTTCACAGTGGAAGGGAGGGAGGGAACGCAGCGTCCACACGCCCCTCCCTTCTGTGTTAAAAGGAGCCCTCTCCCCGAGAGCGCCCTCGCGGCCGGGCCGAAGTGCTGGCTGGTGTCTGATGGAAAATAATGTGTTTGCTTTGTTTTTCTTCAAGGAAATTTCCAAAAATGGTAACAAGGTCAAAACCAAAAGTCATTATTCTGATGAATCTGGAGAACAGAAGGGAAAATCTGCCACAGGTAAAACAATTACTTGTTTCCTTAGCAAGGCTGTCCTCTGGCAAGGTTTCCGCCGGCGCTGTGGGGGGCGGGAGCTCCCCTTTTAAATCGCTGCAGGTCCCCGCCCCATCCTGTCCTGCGGGCAGCAGGGCCCGCTCCTTTCCCTGCGCTCCGTTCCCTGCGCAGCCGGCGGGGCCCGGAGCGTCCGCAGAGGTGAGCCCATGCTCACGCCGCGCCCGGGCCCTGCCAGCCGTCTCGCAGACACCCAGAGCCGACCCTGCCTGCGTGGAAAGTGCCCGCTGCGCTCCTGGGCCACCTTCTCGGGGACGGTGCCCACCAGCATGGGGTGGGGGGTTGCCGCCCACCCCACCGCCGTTTGCTCCTGTCTTCCCACGGCACACCTGCACGCCCTCACGTGTGGGCTTCTGCCCAGGCACGCATGCGCAGGCACATGCCTGCGCCCCGGCAGCTGCCCTGCCTGGTGGACCCTCGCGCACCCTTTGTGCTGAGGCCACGCCCCTTCCAGGAGGCCTCTCCTGGGATCCTGGGGCCAGTGCTCCCCCCTGCCCAGGGTGCTTAGCCTTTGGGGTGCCAGGAGTGCACTTCTGCCTTCGTGCTGGGTGCTGAGGGCACTAACGGGCGGCCACGGCCCTGCCCTCGGGGCCCCCTGGAACAGCGTGCGGGCGCCAGGCCAGGGCAGGGAGAGGAGGGCCTCCGCAGGCCACCCCGGAGGCCGTGGGGACTGCCATCGCCGCCGGGCCAGGTTGGGGTGGAACTGGCGGGCCCCCCGAGAGGCAGGGGCACCAACTGACTGTAAAGCCCCCTGAGTTTCAAGAGTTCAAGTAAGGACTGGCCTCTCCCACTCCCCTGGCCCCGGAGACAGCCTGGACCAAGTGCCGACAAGCCCCGGCCCGTCAGCCGTGGCCTCAGGGCCCTCCTCAGGCGGCACAGTGGCTCCCGCCGCCGGGTTTCGGTGTCTGTGATGCGCGGTCTGAGCCCCCAGCCTGACCTTTAGGTAGAAATACATGGAGTGGTTTCTTTGGGGAAAACAAGTGTTAACTGAAAGCACTGCTGCCACTCTTTCAGACGTGCGAAATGGTTCCCCTGCTCAGGGCACAGCCTTCCGGGACGCGGAGAAGGCCAGCTCAGGTGCCAGCCCGCCCAAGGCCGCCTTCCCCGAGGAGCTGGCCTGCAGGAGCCAGCCGGCCGGCTCCTACCAGCAGATCAGCTGCCTGGACAGCGTCATCAGGTGCGGGCGCCTCCCGCCGCCCCCTCGGAGGCCACCGCCCTCCCGGCTCGGCCCGTGATGTGACGCTGCCTGTGACCCTCCCCGCAGGTACCTGGAGAGCTGCAGTGAGGCCACCACCCTGAAGAGGAAGTGTGAGTCCCCAGGGAACGCGTCCACGCAGAAGGCCAGTGACAAGCGGAAGGCCACCGGCAGCCCCGGGCCGCCCCCTGCAGGTATCGTGTTTGGGGGTTGGATGTGTTGTGACTCACTTGGACCCCCAAGGTGAGAGCCCCCTTCTTCCCTCCTACTGGCTCAGTGGCTTCAGGGACACAGTAGGTGGCTCTAGGCTCTTCTTAAAATGACCGAAGTGCTAAAATGTCAGCAACCAGCTTACCAGCTGGAAGTGATGGCGGTTCTGGACTCTGAGAACCTGGGGGCCTCCCAGGTGGTCATTTCTGGCAGGCCTGCTTCCACGGTGTCTGAGCATTAGCTCAGGTCAGACTAAGTCTCAGGCTGCTCGGAGGCGTGCATGTCCCTGGCGGTCCTCGCCAGACTCAGATATCGGGTGACCGGGGCGGAAGCATGTGCGGCTGCACAGTCACGCTGAGGGGCAGGCTGTGCGCTGCCCGCAGGGGGCCCCCCACAGGCCTTCGAGGGGCTGGGCTCCCAGCAGTGGCCCTGGCCCGAGCCCCCGCTGCCCGGCCAAGCCACCGCCCCTCCCAGACGCCCCAGGACGGGAGCGCCGAGCTGTTCCTGCCGCCGCAGGCTTTCCTCTTCCCCTCTTTCCCTGGTGACAAAGCACCTGCGGACCGCTCGCCACGGGCCGGACGCGCACAGACCGTACGGTCGCCGCAGTGCTGACCCGGCAGTTTGCCGCGTTCCTCTGCAGGGGCTCCGTTTTCACTGCATCTGTGCTCCCTCCACGCTCTCTTGCAGAGGCAGCGGTGGCCCCCAGGGTGAACAGGCACGCGGACGTCAGCGCGCACTTGCCCTCGCTGACCCTGCCGGGCAAGGCGGAGAGCGTGGTGTCCCTCACCAGCCAGTGCAGCTACAGCAGCACCATCGTGCACGTGGGCGACAAGAAGCCGCAGCCTGAGCTCGGTACGCCGCCTGGCCCTTGGGTGGTGTGGGGAGCCGTCCGGTTTTCACAGTGAAATGGGACGCTTTGGCTGCCACCTTAGGTTTTTTTTTCCCTTGAGGCAAGCGCAGGGAAACCTAGTGCAGCTCAGGAAGGGGGACCCAGGAAGCGCAGGGCAGGGCGGGGCCCACCTGTCCTGGGCCCGGTGTGCTCTGGCGCCACCTGCTGGCCGTTGTCTGCTCAGGTGTAAATACGTGCAGGGCTGTGGTGGTGCTGGGCCCCGGCCTCCCCCACTGAGCAGGGTCCCCAACTCTCCCTGTGTTGGGCGCCGGACCCAGAGAGCCCTGGGGACTTGTGTCCCCTTCCCCGCTTGCCTTGCTGGGCCTAGCCTCCCCCTTCAGGGTCCCCGCTTCCCCGTGTGAGGGCAGGAAGGAGCCGGACAGGTCTGCGCAGCGGCTCCGCCCGGGTGCCCCGCAGTGAGGTCCTGAGTTTGCTTTGCCTGGAAGAGGCAGCCGACAAGGAAGAGGGTGCACGTCGTCGTCAGTGCCCAGCCACCGGCCAGGACAGTCGTTGCACCCACCTGCCCCGTCCCAGCTGTGCCCCCAGATCCAGGTGACCCCGCTGTCACACCGCGGCCCTGGAGGGGGGTGCCCCAGCCTCAGCCTGTTGTGCTCCAAGAGCCGAGGACGTCAGAGGCCGGCGCCAGCGCCCCGGGCGGGGGCTGTGGCTGTCGCTGCTGCTTGCCTCCTGCCGGGACTCTGCGCCGCGGGCGCCGCCCCATGGGGGCTGGGGGCGTCGTGCAGGAGCTCGTTGTCGGGGGTCTCAGCCTGGGGTTCGTCAGCTGCTCTCAAACGCACAGGCCCTTGCTGACGCGCGGTCTGCATCCCCTCCCCCAGAGATGGCGGAAGACCCCGCGAGTGGGCCCGAGTCCCTGGACTGCCTGGCGGGCCCTGCCGCCCCCTGCGGCCTCGGCCCGGAGAAGGAGCCCTTCAGGAGGCTGGGCCTCACCAAGGAGGTGCTGGCCGCCCACACGCAGAAGGAGGAGCAGAACTTCCTGCTCAAGTTCAAGGAGACAAGGAAACTCAACGTTCTCCAGTCGCGCTGCCATTACTACTTGCACGAAAGGTCCAGGGGGCAGGCGAGCGACAGAGGTAGGTGGTGGTACCTGAATTAAATGTGAAGTAAAAAAAAAATCATTCTCAGCAGTGCCGAGTGCAGTGCGGCTTTCAAGGTGTGGCGTGTCCCCGGTTCAGGACGCCTGAGTTTGTTGGACAGCTGTGGGGACTTTGCTGGAGATGCTGTTTCCAGGGACCGATCTCCAGGCTGCCATCTCACGGTCCCAAGGGAACGGCGCTTTAAATAGCGGCAACCGGTGCCGGCAGGCGAGCCCTGTGGGGTGCGCAGAGGGCGGCTGCAGTGCCCCCTCCCCAGACGCTTCCTGCCAGGGCGGCTGTGCGGGGCAGGGGACCCCGGCCCACGGGCCACCCAGACAGAGCTCCCAGAGGTGCAGGCAGGCCCCAGCTAACATGCCGCGAAGACAGTGAGCATGGCACCGCGAGGGTGTTTGGTGCCGGTCCCAAGGAAGGAGGGAGCCCGGGCTGACTCGGTGCTGGGCTGCAGCCCCCAGAGCCACGCAGAGCTGGTGGGGGCGCGAGGCGGCCCCTTAGGTGGAGAGCCGCCGGGTGGGTGACGGGCAAGGGACGAGAGCGCCTAGACCAGCTTCTGTGCCCCTTTTCTGGTCCGCGAGCCTGGCTCCCAACCCCCAACCACCCTCGCAGGCCTCGTGGACAGACGGGGCTGATCAGAGGCACCCCCTATTCTCTGGACTCCCAGGGCCGCAGGTCAGGGCTGGTGAGCCCGGGACACACAGCACAGGACCTGGCTCCGCTGGGTCTCGGGGCAGACGCCGCGAAGCGAGCGTCCGCCCAGTGAGAGAGGCCGGCGCCCTCCTACTCCTGGGCCCGGGGCTGCTGCCCGGCCCAAGGGCACCTCTGAGGGAATCACAAAAGGGCGTCACCCCAGCCCGGGGCGGACCCACCCAGTGGACCTGGCCTGATGCAGAGTCCCAGCGCCTTGCCCGCTTGGGCGCGGACTGCCCAGACCCTGGCTGCTGTCCCAGGAGCCCAGGGCCCTGGCCACCGGTGCCACCAGGGGACAGACCTCTCACGGGAAGGACACCTGCCAGAGAGTCTGAGTCACAACGCCGCCACCCTCTCAGCAGCTTGCCCCTGGCTGGCCCACGCGCCTTCAGCCTGTAGCGAAGGCGAGGAGCCCCCGGCACAGGTGGCAGGTGCGCCCCCTGCCTGCCCCGGGAGCCCCGAGTCCTCTGGGTGCGGTGAGGGGAGACCCTCTCCTGGGGCCCACCCTATCGCCCACCCTCCCAGGCTCGGCAGGGCCTCCGCCCCTGCCGATAGTATCCGGGTGCTGGCCCAGGCTGGGGAGGCGTGGGGACGTGCCCAGAGTCCCTTCGGGTACCGGGTGAGGCCTGCCAGCCTCCTAAAGAAGGCTCATCTCAGCCACTTGTCATCGGAGAGGCAGACTTCGGTTCTAAGGGCCAGTCCCCACTGTGCCCCTCGAAGCGGCCCTGGGGTGGAGGCAGCACAGGCTCCATCCAACGGGCGGGACAGGGAGCAGCTCTGTGGGGACCCGCAGTGGGAAGCTCGTAAAATTGACCGATGGGCTTCGATGGCCTCAGGTTCCACAAGCCAGTGTTGGGGGACAGCATAGAATTGCCAGCTTTTTAACTTTCTTTGGACAAACAAGACATCTTTGATATCACTTATCACCACCGTTATTTAGTAAAAAAAAAAAAAAAAAGGCATTTTAACTGCAGAAGAAAGTAAGTTGTGATTTTGCAATTAACAGTGATCCTTTAAATTGATTGAATCAGATTTCCTAAAGCCTGATTCAATCAACCAGGTAACATTTTGCCTTGATTTTTCTCCTAGCACTGAGGGTCAGGGCGACCGTATGGTGTACCTGATGGTCCCCAGGCTGACGTTTGGGGATGTGGGACTGTTGAACTAGTAGGTGCTTTCAAGCGTTTGAGGTTGCCTGAGTCTCTGAGAACTGACGGAGTAGGAACCGTGTAAACATTTACATTTTCAACGCTGCCTGTTTTTCCGTCACTGCAGCTGCTCCTGGGCTGAGAAACACGTCTGGAATAGACTCATCATGGAAAAAAACCGGGAAGAACAGAAAGCTGAAGTCCAAACGGGCCAAGCCACGGGACTCCTCCGAGAGCACGGGGTCCGGGGGGCCCGCGCCCCACCGGCCCCCGCTGGTGGGCCTGAACGCCACAGCCTGGTCGCCGTCGGACACGTCCCAGTCCAGCTGCCCCGCGATGCCCTTCCCCAGCGCCGTGCCAGCCTACTCCCTGCCCGTGTTCCCAGCGCCCGGGATTGTGCCAGCGGCGCCAGGGGCGGTGGCGGCGGCACCTCTGGAGCCCCACGCCAGCTTCGCGGTGCCCACCATGCCCACGGACACCCCGCACGAGTTTGCGGTCCAGCCACCGCCGTTCGCTGCCCCCCTGGCCCCGGTCATGGCCTTGGTGATACCCAGCTACCCGTTCGCCCCCGTGGCGCCGAGCCTGCCGCCGGCCTTCCTCCCCAGCCAGATGGTCCCTGCCTCGCATCCCGAGCTCCCTGGTCGGACCTCGCCGCACAAGCAGCCCTGCGCCTGTCCTCGGGCAGAGCGGGGGCCCCCGGTGTCACGCGTGGCCACCCCGGCCACTCCGCCGTCGGCCACCGGGCCCTCGGGCCGGGCCTCCCCGCCCCTCTTCCAGTCGCGCGGCAGCTCCCCTCTGCAGCTCAACCTGCTGCAGCTGGAGGAGGCCCCCGAGGGCAGTGCCGGGGCCGCGGGGGCCGCGCCGGACTGCAAGCCGGGCACGTCCTGGGACTGGCCGCCAGCGGCACCGCCGACCGTGAGGATTCCCTGCTGCTCCTTCTCCACCGCAGGCGGGCCCACAGCCGTCACGGTAGGTCTTTGTCTCAGACGTGCGTGTTCTGTCCACGGAGGGCCCCACGGGGCTTTCCAGTTTGACCAAATACCTGATCAGTGTTTCCCAGTTAAAGGGCCCTGTCAGAGCGGACTGGGGTGGGGGGGCTCTGGCTGGCAGGGGAGCCGGACGAAGGAAGGTCGGCTGTCTGATGGCAACTGCGAGGTCCGGGGGGCCCGGACGACTGGGTGACTCGTCACGGGCCTCGAGGTTTTGCACGAAAGCCATGGGCACAAAGCTCAGTCGGGCTAAATGCCAGCACTCAGCTCCTTGGAGGTCAGGGTGGGGGCAGGGGTCCTCACGGGACACGGCGGGGGCTCTGAAAGCAGGCCGGCCGCTGTCCTCCCGCGCGCCCAGGGCCCCGGCATGGCGCTGCTGCTCTGTTCGTGGGACTCTAGTGTCCTGTGGGCTTCGCGCGCTGACCGCCCAGCTGGGCGGCGCCTGAGCTGCTGCACGGAAGGCGTGGGCGTGCCCCCTGCCTGTGCCCCTGGAGAGCGCGGGCCCAGGAAACAGAGCTGGCCTCCCAGTGTGTCGGCCACTCTCCCTACTCGCTTTTCTGGGGTCAGGCCTTACAGGCCCAGTTCCAAGTCCAGAGGGTCAGGGGGCTCCCGGGGCCGGGGAGCCAGGGCCCTGCCACCGAGGAGCAGCTCGGGTACGTGGTGGTGTGTCCTGCCCCCACGTCTGCTGCGCTGGAGGAACAGGCCTGAGCCCCCCTCCCCAGGGACCCAAGAGTCACCGTCTCCCAAATGCAGCTGAAGGGGGTGGCCTCTCGCTGCAGTCCACTGCCCATGGCCGGTCCGCGCGGCCAGAGGGAGGTCTGAGGAGGGCGCCCACGCCGCCCTGAGCACCCCATGCAGGCGGCCGCCCCGGATCTGGGTGCTGACGGGTCCCGCTTGGCATCTCCCCTGTCCCTGAAGCGCGAGGAGCCCCCGGACGCCCAGAACAGCGACGCCCTCTCCACGTCCAGCGACCTGATCGACCTCCTGCTGCGCGAGGACCTCTGCTCCGCCGAAGGGTCGGCCCCGTCGAGGAGCGGGGCCTCCGCCGCCTCCGACTCCCTGGGCTCCAGCTCGCTGGGCTGCGGCGCCTCCGGGAGCGGGACAGGTCTGTGGATGGCCTGGGAGCCAGCGTGGGGGGGCGGGGGCCTGTTCAGGCTGCTGGGGTCCTGGCTCGTTTGGGAGACTCCCCCGCGGGGCCCTGGGCAGCCCCTGCTTCTCCCGCACAGTGGGGCCCGGCTGGTGGCCCCGCGGGAGGCGCAGGCAGGCCCTCAGGCCCCCGCGGCGCTCAGAGCCCACAGCGGTTCGCACGGGCAGGCAGGCGGTGCTCCGTCTGGGCAGCGGGGGCGGGGCCTCCCCAGTCGAGCCCTCCCTCTCGCCTGCTCGCATCCGTGTAGGGCCACGCGGGCCTCGTGCCCTGGTGCGCCAGGGGGGCCGGTCAGAGCTCCCCGTCCTGAGTCACTTCCCCTGGGTGAGCCCCGGGTCTGGGTCGTGCACTTTGCCCACCGGACAGTTCAGCGTGGCCCAGACCCGCTGCACTGGCACGTGCCCTCCCCGCACTCCAGGGCCCCATCATTTCGAATGCGCGCCTGCCCCTCCTGCCCTCGCTGGCCTTGCCACTCCCCCCGCTCCCCCCCACCCCGCCAGGGTCTCTGGGACACGCTCGGGCCGGTGGCCTCCGCTAACGGAGCCCAAACCCACTTCTCTGTGGCCTGGCTCGGTGAGGGGCTAAGCACCAGCGAAGGGGCCGTCGCCTCTGCCTGGCTCTGCCAGGGCTGCTCCGGCCGCCCCAGGAGAGGCGCCTCCACAGCGCTGGCTGGTGTCCCATGTTCTTGGCCCAGGCAGTCTGAGCACTGGTGGGGCAGGGGGACCCCGGCGGCACAGGCGCCTGCCTCCAGACAAGCCTCTCGGCCCCCTAAGCCGGCCCATGTCCCTCACCCGCCCCGCGCAGTCAAGCGTGGCGTTCGAGGTCCGACCTGCCACCCTGTGTGTTTAAAGGCAGCAGTAACACGAGCCACACCAGCAAGTATTTTGGAAGCATTGACTCCTCGGAGGACAGCCGCAAAGCCAAGGCTCAGGCCGAGGCGGAGGAGCGCGAGCACTTCATCAAGGGAGCCCTCCGGGACCCTGTCTGGCTGCTGCTGGCCGACGCGGACGACGGCGTCATGATGACGTACCAGCTGCCCTCCCGGTAGCCGCCTGGCCTTTCTCGGGGGGGGGGGTGCGGTGAAGGAGCCCCCCCACAAGACACCGGGTGCGGGGGGTGGACGGCGGGCGTCCCCCTGAGAGCCCCGCGGAGGGAGCCAGTGCCGCGGGCGGGGAGCCCGTGCCCTCTGATGGCCCCTTGGGCCCGCAGAGCCCTGCAGCGCGACCTGCCACGGCCGCGAGGGAGGCAGGCTCCTGGCGACCCACCCCAGGGGCCGCACGCGGCGTTGGCGAAGCGTGTGTGCCGGCCTCATCCCTCCAGCTCTCTTGCCCCGTGGCCCGGGGCGGGGGGGTGTATGGGGGGCGTGTCTTGGAGACGCAGAAAGCAGGGGCCGAGGTGGGCAGCCAGCCAGGGCCACGGGCTGCTCGGCGGTGAATGCGGTCTGTGTCCCAGCTGTGACTCCCTGTCAGGCTGCTCCAAGAACAGGCAGCGTCTCTGCCCCTGCGGAGTGCCGCCCCGAGGCGGGACAGCCAGGCCTCTGGGCTGGGCGGGGTGGGGGCAGTGGACCAGCGTGGGCAGGAGGCAAGGGAAGGTCGTGTCCCCACCGCCTCATGGTAGGCACCTTCCAGGCTCATCGCCCTGTGCAGAACCAGCATCTGCGGACGCCCAGCTCCCGTGTGTTACTTAAAACAGAAGTAAAATCGTGACTTGCGTTGTCATTTTCGTAGAATAACCACGGTTATGACTAGGGATGTTCAGTTACCTTAAACAGGTGACCTTTTTTAAATGAGAAGAAAATTTGCATAAAACAAAATCACCTAAATTCCATTATTAATGCTGAAAGAAAGGGAGAGTGCACTTTAAAAAGAGAAAACGGGCAACCCTAAGCCGTCCGCAAGCTCACCGCTTCTCCCCATGCTGGCAGGAGCCTGGAGGCCGTCCTGAAGGCGGACAGAGAGAAGCTGCAGCTGCTGCAGAGGCTGCAGCCCCGCTTCACCGAGGGGCAGAAGCAGGAGCTGCAGGAGGTGCACCCGTGGGTGCGGGTGGGCGGCCTGCCCGAGGCCGTGGACGTGGCGGTAAGCTCGCCCGCCCGCCTTCCTCTCTGCCAGCGCCCGCCGGGCTGTGTGGGCGCCCCCAGCGCTCTGCTTTCGGCTGGTCCGTGAATTAACGCTCCCCAGTGAAAGCTTTGTTGAGAAAGCGAAAGGGGTGCCCCAGCGCTGCCGGCTGCCCCAGAGCGCTGCTTCCCTCGCTCCCCAAAAGGCCGTCTGAACGTCTGACCTCGTGTGTGTGCTAAAGTCAGAATTTTTCTTTCCTTCAGTTCTATTTTCTATTAAAAAAAGAACACTTCCACCACCGTAAACCCTCAACATCCATGCAGACGTTCAGTAACAGTAGCAACGTCGAGTTCCCGCTCTTCCTGCCTGCCCCTCCCCAGCTGTCCCTTCTGCCTCTGTTCCTTCCTGAGGCGCCAAGGTGGCGGGTTCGCCCCGGCCAGGGCGTGTACGAGACGCAACCAGTGAATGCATCAATTCGTGGAGCAACACGTTGATGTCTCGCTCCCTCCCTCCTTCCCTCCCTCCCTCTCAAATCCATTTTAAAAAATGTTTTGAACACCTGCCTGCAGCCCGGCCGGGCCCCCACTCCCATCGCTCCTGTCGGGCCCCAGTGTCCCCCAGCCTCCGAAGCGCTGCCATTCCTGTCCCTGCCCGTCCTGCACAGCCCGACCTCGGCAGCGGCAGGGATGAGTCCCTCCCCGGAGAGCCTTCCGGCCTCATTACGTTGTTGAGATCCCACCTCACAGAGGAGGAAACCAAGGCTGGTCACTGAGCTCCAGGTCCCGCGGGCAGAGGGAGGCGGAGCTGGGAATGGAGGCGGAGCCTGTGCAAAGCCACCGCTCCCCAGGGGAGGCGGGCATGGGGGCCTCAGGGAGCAGGGTGGCCGCCTCCCACCGCAGGGGGGTCCCTCGGCGGAGGGGCGCCCTCCTCCAGTGGCCCCACGGCTCCCACCCCGTCCCCTGTACGTCACGCAGTGTGAACGGCAATTCTGTAATGAAGATCTCATTTTTGTTACTGACTTCACGTTCTTTTCTGTTCAGGAATGTGTTTACTGTGAAAACAAGGGACAGGACAACTTTTGCATGCCGTACGAGGAAGACAGTCCTGCCCTGGCGCTCAGCGAAGCCACAGACCCCCAAGAAAAGGAACACGGACCCGCCCTGAGCCACAGAAACGAGGGGCAGACGTAACCCCCGCGCCCCGGCCCGCCCGACAGCCGGCGGTCTGCAGCCCAGGCCAGTGGAAGGGAACGGCTTCGCACCGGTTCCTAAGGAGATGGACAGACATATTTTTGTTGTTGTTCGTTTTAGAGGAAAAAAAACCCAAAAACCAGTGTTTTGAAGAGGTGACTTAAAACTGTGGAGGGTGGGAGGGGTTTGGAGAGACATACATTTGCATATTTAAAAATAAATGTGGACTTTGGGGGACGGGGAAGAGGTTTTGCTGTGAAACGACCCAAGAAAGACTGAACCCACCTTCGCGAGGGCCGGGAGGTCCACCGAGCACTCGCAGGGGTCCTTGGACCGCGCTGAGCCTCCGGGTGGCGCCGCGCCTTCCGGCTGAGGGCCCCAGCCTTCGGGCCCTCCCGGGGGTGCGTGTGCGGGTCAAATCCCATGCTCTCTCGGGGGCTGCTTTTCATGTAAAGTATCATCTAGTCACACTAGATGTTTTTAAAACATACCAAGTGGAAATGACAGCCCCTCCTAATTTGCGTTCCAAGTGTTTCGCATTCAATGGTGTGAAGCAAGCCGGCAGCTTTGGCTTCAGGTACCGTCGTGGCGGACGTGTGGGGTGGACAGCGCTGCAGCGCCCGCTCTGGACTGAAGCCCCGTCGTTTGTGTGACCAAGTCCCGTGGGCTAACACGCACCAGGCCCCCCGGGTGTTTTCTCCATCGTTCTCGGGTCCTTTTCCGACCGCGGCCAACATGGACATCAAATAGGTCGTCGTCATCTCTTCGTGGTGACTCCCGTCTGCAAGCCAGGCTTTGATCGCTGCATTCGGGACCCACCTGTATTCTGCAGTTGACACGCCCCAGACACGGCTCCGGCCCTGGCAGAGCAGCCGCTGACGCAGTGAGCCCGCGGGGGCGGCGGCCGCGTTGCCCTGGCCCTGGGAGCTTGCCCCTCCCCCGCAGCCTGGGCTGGGGCCCGGCCCCCCACCCCCCATCTTCTCCCCGTCTCACCTCACTCGGTGCAGCTGCCAGTCCTGCAGTGACATCCCCCAGGGTCTCTGGCACTTTCGGGCCGTGGGGACCCTTGGGGAAGAGTGAGGCCAGTCTGCCCGACTGTTTGCAGAACCTCACGTTGCGCCAAATATCCCAAAGATTGTTTGGAAAAAATGGTATTGGTCCCGGAATGAAAGAGATGTACCCACCGATGAGACGATTAATTTAAAACTGCACTGAGTCTGTAGAAACTGAAAAGGCAGCAGGTTTCCCCGGCTCTTGGGTGGGAAGGGCCTGCCAGAGCCGTGAAGCCGCCTTTCACCCGGGTGGCTCTCCTGCCAAACCGTCCTGCTCCTGACTTTTTTATAAACTCAAGCCCAAAACGCTGTTTAGCCTTTTTTCACAAAGTGATAGCGCCTTCAGGTGCCACGTCCAGGGTGCAGTCCTGCCCATGCGTGGGGACGAGGCGCTACCAACCGCTTCCTGCCTCCGAGGTCAGGTCTACCAGGTGACGTGTGTTCCGCCAACACAAACTGCCAGAACCTTCTCTGCCGTTACGAACGTTTACCGCCAGCGTCGCTTCGTCATTTAACGCGCGCTCACCGACCGTTCACTGCACAGCTTCCGCGTGCCCAGAAGCCAACCCTAGGAGCGTTTTGTGAAATTGTTTACACGGCACCATGTATCAAGTCTTTCCTTCATGTGTGTGCGTACACGGGTGTTCTGAAAACGTGTTCTTGATTTTAAACTGAGCCTTCTTTTTAATATGTTCCTAAAAGGATATGTAAATAAGCTCCCGGAGTCTGTGTGCGGCGCGTCAGCCTTGCCGGACAAGCGGTTTGTTTGTGTGCAAATGAAGCTCTCCACCCAGTGCAATATGTTGTTTGACCGCTTGTGTCTTTTTATGACTTTTTTGCCTTTTAGAAAATTGGTAAATAAAGCAAGTATATTTTTATTTTTATTTGTATGTGTCTCTAAAATAACACAGAGGGCGCCCTGGCTGGTGGGGCTCAGTGGACTGAGCGCCGGCCTGCAAACCAAAAGGTTGCCAGTTCGATTCCCAGTCAGCGCACAGGCCTGGGCTGTGGGCCAGGTCCCCAGTAGGGGGCCCGCGAGAGGCGACCACACACGGATGTTTCCCTCCCTTTCTCCCTCCCTGACCCTCTGTCTAAAAATACATAAAATCTTTAAAAGATAAAAGAGGGACAGCTGAACAGAGATCAGATTATCAGAAGGCTTTATTAAAAAAAGAACTTGAGAGATTCTGCGTCAGGGACTCTCGTGTCACCAAGGCCCCCACGTGGCCCCCACGTGGCCCCCGGTGCAGCGAGCTTCCTGCTGCGCGCCCGCCGCCCCTCCCTGTCTGAGCTCCTCTTCCCACAGCCCCTGCCTGGGGACAGTCTCGGCAATAGATCTAAGCCCGCGATGGAGTTCTCCCAGCGTTTGCACCAGCAGGTGGGGTGGGGGGGGGTGGGGGGCCCTGCTCGGCCCCTGGGGCCCCCGTCTGCTCTGGGGGACCCCAGGCCCCCGCTGGGTGCTGGCCGCGTGGGCGGGCGGGAGGACGGCGGGGCCGGGGGGCCTCCTGTCTCTGTCAGAGGTGACCAGGCAGCACCGCGCCATCGCCCCGGACCCCACCCGCCCAGTCCTTCCTTCTGCCGTGACAGAACCTGACGGAGCCCGGCCAAGATGGGAGAGGACCGTGGCGGGTACCATGGGGGGGGCGGGCGGAGCAGGACGATGAACGGGGCCTGGACTTGAGGCCCAGCCCTCCAAAAACAGCTCCCTGAGCAGAAGGGAGGCCTGCATCTGCCTCCCGGCCCGGCTACCAAAATGCGAAGGCATAGGGACAGGGAGTCAAAGGCCAGTCCTCCAAGTGAGCGCAGGCGGCTTCAGTGGCCAGACATGGCTGATTCGCTGGCCTTCTGGGTGCCTCTGGGGACTCATGACTGCAATTTTATTTACCCTATAACCCCAGGAGCACAAACTAAAAGGAGCTTCCAAGAGTGCCCTGGGCTGATTGCCCACAAGGGACCTAGACCCACAGGCTGCTCACTGCCTTTGTCCCCCGGGGATTTGTGGCCTGCCACCGCAGCCAGAGCTGCCGCCGCTGTCTGGTCCCCCTGTGGCCACCGCAGCCCTGCCCAGCCTCTGCTGGCCTCTGTTCCTGGATCCGAGGAGATCAAGGGCCCACGTGCTCAGGAAGTCTGTGTGCAGGCAACCTCTGAAGGTGGGAGCAGCCCAAGGGGCAGATGGCAGGGAGTGGCTCCGCTCAGAGAGGCCATGTGAAGGAGGGCGTGAGGGCTCGGCGGCCCCAAGAGGGAGTAGTCTGGAAGGGAAAGGCCAAGCCAGCGACCCAGCGGGGCCACTGAGGGAAACTGAGGCTGACTTCGAAGGTGGAGCCTTGGGCAACTTCCAGGCCAGCCAGACTGACACGCCTGCTCTCCCCTTGTGTCTTCCCCCAAGGGCGCTCGGTCGCTGAGCCACATCCCAGCACTTAACTTCTTCTTTCACCTCTAGACCGCATTTCCGAGTCCCCTGCCCTGTGCCAGGTAGGGCTCTCAGGTCCCAGCCTGCCCTCCATTCTGTCCCCTTCTCTGATACCTGTCACCTGTCCTTTGTTTTTACAGCCAGCTGTACATCTTGTCACGGAACCCTAAGCAAGCCTCCGTCACCTTGTCTACCAATCAAGTCTAAGTGTCGAAACCCTACAAACAGCTGTGGCCGTGAGAGACGTGGCCACTGCGTGGATTAATGTGCTACGGCCACATTACTCTTCTTGGGCTCCTTTTTGTTTTTCCTGGAGTTCCCTGTTGCCTTCCGTTTTTTGTTTGCACCGCCTGCCTTCTCACGCGCCCTCCAGCCCCCACACCCAGGGCCCCATTCAACCAGGCGTTCTGCTGGCCTTTTCCCTGGGGCTCCCCCAGTGTCCAGACCGTCCTGGGCCCATGTGAGCCGTGTCACGCAGTGAGCACTGTGAAACACACGCTGGGCCCTGTCCAAACAACATAATGGCTAACGAGGGGCGTATGAAGCAGAGCATGCAAGAGATCACTGAGTTTATTTTTCCGTTTCTCCCAGGAGTAAAAACTTAACTGTAGTCGCCTGTGTGTGGAAGGGGTGCATCTCCTTTCCTGGCATAATGTGTAAATGGCAAAGAAGAGTCAAGTTTCAGGCCAGCTTAGGGCCCACCCTCCCATCGGTGCCCCCAGTAGGCATGGGGGATGGAAGGGAGTTGGTTCTCCGAGCAACCAGCAAGGGGCAGGAGGAAGAGAGCCGAGTTTCCTGGCTTGTCGGGGAGGCTGAGGACAGGGGTGGGTGACGGAAGGACTAGGCTCATTCCCGGGTGGGCGGTGCTGGCCTGGGGAAGTCACAGGGGCCTGCCCACGAAGAAGCCCCCAAGGGGCAGCTCAGGGGCAGGTGAGACTCAGCACAGGGGCTCCCAGGTGGTCCCAGAAGTCAGGGAGGTGACTTGCAGAACCTTCAGGCCTCTCGCTGAGCGGGCCCTGCCTGTGGAGGTCCCTCCGGTGGGGAGCCCAAAGTGAAACAGCCACCTGGGAGCCTGCCAGACGGCTCTGGCAGGACAGCCGGGCGGCCCCCTGCCCACCCAGGGCTCCTGCAAGACCAGGTGGATGGGGTCCTAGATCAGACTGCCCCTCTGACCAGGGATGGAGGCCAGCTGACCAGGCCCTGACGATCCTGATCCTGAGTGAGCAGTGGGTGCTGGGTGCCGTGCAGCGAACAGGGAGGAAACAGCCACGGAGGTGGCTGGCTGGAGGCAGCAGAGCGTTCCAGGCCGAGGGCACCTTGGCATTCCGGCCCTTGCGGGCGGGATAGAATGGGCAGTAAGCCAGTGGGCCAGAGGACAGGCCCGGGGCCCCAGGGCGCTGCCCCAGGGCGCGGCTCCACAGCCCACACCCCCCACCCACGGGAGGCCAGGCTGGCAGATGGGCGCCCGCGGCGGGGGTGGCGGCCGTCTGGCGGACACAGGCGCGCCCACTGTCCGCCCACGGGACAAAGGCGTCAGAGACAAAAGAGCGGCCAACACCTGTCTCTCTTGGCGCGGCCGCCGCTTTTCTCCTCCGAAGCGGCTGCAGCTGCCAACTGTCACGGGCATCAAGTTACGGGGTCCAGACGGCGGCCTCCCGGAGCCTGGCGGGTGGGGGGCTGGGGCATACAGGGAGCAGAAGGGGGACGCGGCGGGCGACACGAAGGGGACTGGAAGGAGGGGGGCCAGGGCGAACCAACAAGGGTGGGGAGCAGGGAAAGACAGGGGACGGAGGAGTGGGACTGGGGAAGGGCGTGGAGCTAAGGGGCGGTCAAAGCGGGGCCGCATGAGCGACGTGCGTCGGGGGAGGTGGAGGCTGAGGGCAGTGAAGGGGATGAAGACCCAGGAAAGGCCAGGCAGCTGTAGGGGGTGGCATGCGGAGGAGGGAAGGACGCGCGGGGTGGGCGCCCGGCCAGAGAAGGGGGCCTGGAGGAGCAGCGCAGCGGCGGGCCCGCGCACCCCGCCCCGCTCGGATTCCCGCGCAGGGAGAGCGCTGCGGACGGGGGTGCGGGGTCCGGTCACCCAAGTCTGCAAAACACGGAAGGGGGCGACGGGCCCGGTCCCTCCCCCGTTGCCCCGTGAGCTCCCCCACCTGCCCGGGGCCACGCCAGTCCAGACCCGGGGTCCCATCCAGTCTGGAGACCGCGGACTTGACCGGCTTTGCCCCGCTCGGTTCAGGACCCTGGTCGCCGGCACACAGAGCTCCTCTGGGGAGGCATCTGGTGAACCCAAATGGGAATGGACCAGTGGATGGGCTCCTGTTCGCCCGCACAGCTGACCTGGGGGCTTTGCTCAGGGCGTGGAGGGAACCCAGCGCGCCCCAAGCTGCCGCTCCCGAGGTCACCGCCCCCTCGGGTGCCGCCCCTGCGGGGGTCGCGCGGAGGCCGGGCTGGGGTCCACGCCCGCTGGCCACGCCCCGCCAGCTGCCGGACGACGCCAGCAGCGGGGCTGGACAAAGCGCGCCACTTCGATTGGCTGCGGTGCGCCTCCGGCCACCGGCTCCTGGCGCACGCGGCCAATCGGCGCATTGAGATGCAAATAAGGCCCTATAAAAGGGGCGGGGCCCGGGGCGGGCGGAAGACGCGAGAGCTCGAGGCCGGTGGCAGTCGGGGCTTAGGCGTGGCGAGGGGCGCGGGCGCTGAGTGCGCTCGCGACGCTCCGGGCGGTGCGGATCATGGCTCCGCCCCCGGCGCCTGGCGCCCGTGGATGGCACAGTGCTGGCCGGGAGAACGACGACGGCTGGGACGCGCGGGTGAACCGCAAGGTGCGGGCCGGGGCCGTGGGCGTGCGGGCGGCGGGGGGCAGCGCGGCGCTGGGGCTTAGTGGCCGGCTTCCCGCAGGCCCGGAAGCCCCTGGTGGAGAAGAAGCGGCGCGCGCGGATCAACGAGAGCCTGCAGGAGCTGCGGCTGCTGCTGGCGGGCACCGAGGTGAGGCGCGCGGGTGGCCGCCTAGGGACCGCCGAGCGGGCGGGCGGGGGTCGCGGCGCTGCCCGCCCTCACCGCCTCTCCCCTCCCGGCGCCCCCGCCGGCGCAGGTGCAGGCCAAGCTGGAGAACGCCGAGGTGCTGGAGCTGACGGTGCGGCGCGTGCAGGGCGCGCTGCGGGGCCGGGCGCGCGGTGAGTGGCTGCAGGACACGCGGGCTGGAGCGCGGGGCGCGTTCGCCCACCTGCCCCTGGCAGGGGCATAAGATTTCTCGGTCCGGCGCCCCTGTGCTGTCGGCAGCGAGAGGTCATCACGGAGCAGGGCGCGCCCCAGCGTCTTCTGGGTGAGCCAGGTCACCGCGGGCTGGGTGGGTCGGGACACGGCTCTCTCCCTTCCATCCCTGGGCGCAGGGCTGGAACAGCTGCAGGCGGAAGCCAGTGAACGCTTCGCCGCCGGCTACATCCAGTGCATGCATGAGGTGCACACGTTCGTGTCCACGTGCCAGGCCATAGACGCCACCGTCGCCGCCGAGCTCCTCAACCACCTGCTGGAGTCCATGCCACTGCGCGAGGGCAGCAGCTTCCGCGATCTGCTGGGGGGCGCTCTGGCCGGGCCCCCGGGAGCCCCTAGGCGAAGCAGCTGGCTCACAGGAGGGGCCCCGGGATCCCCGCTCCCCAGCCCCCCACCCCCTGGGGACGATCTGTGCTCTGACCTCGAGGAGGCGCCGGAGGCAGAACTGAGCCGAGCACCTGCTGAGGGGCTGGACTTGGTGCCCGCGGCCCTGGGCGGCCTTACCACCGCCCACATAGCCCAGAGCATCTGGAGGCCTTGGTGACAAACGCCGGCCAGCCTGAGGCCTGCAGGGGTGGGCCCAGCCTTCCCACCTCTAGCCCCCCCTCCCCGGGCCCGGATGAGTGGGGGCCGGGTCCTGCATGCTCGCCCTCCCAGGGGAAGGCTGGTAGGGCGCCCGGTGGCCAGCCCAGCCAGGCCCCTGGCCCTTTTCTTCAGGGAGTACCTTGTATGGACCTCGTGCCCCACCTCCGGGGGGTTGGAGGGAGGGCACTACAGGCAGGAGGAAGAACGTTCCAGAGCTGCCAGGGCTCTCCGGGGTTCGCCTGCCCCAGCCTTTTCAGCCACTGTGTGGATCTCGGGGCAGAGGGGACCGGGGTGGCACTGAGCCTCTCCTCGGTGAAGGGCACTAGTGTCGGGGCAGAGGGAGACCTCAGCCCCTGGCAGCCCAGGCCTGAGTGGCAGCTTGAACTTGCCCCTTCGGAGGGACGCAGAGCTGCCCAGAGTTGCTGGAGCGAAGCAGGGCTCTCCGTGCGCCGCGCACTTAGCACACGAGTTTGTCTGTTAGGTTGCCATCACGTGTCCCAGTTCTAGTAAATAAAGGATTTTGGAGAGTTAGTTTCCTTTCTGAAGTATGACTGAATGATGTGGTGTCGTTAATGTGTCAGATACGGAAATACTAAACTAGGTGTGCTTTTCCTGTCTTCAGTGCTTGCCCTTGTCAGCAAAGCGGCAGTGCACACAGGACACCCTGCCTCCCAGCGGACAGCGCGCCCCTGCCCGAGCGCCGGCCGCTCCAGGTGGCTTCCCCTGCAGGTCCTCAGGCCCCGGGCGTGTGTGGCCCGGAGGTGGATGTCGCCGCCGGGTGTATATGCCTGCAGAGTAACCAAGCAACAGGGGAGCAGTGTGTCCCGGACCGCTCTCTGGTTCATGGGCCCCCAGGAACAAACGAATGCCTCATCACGAGCCCCGTGGTTCGGAAGTTTCTTTCAAACATTTGTGTTAGGCTCCACGAGTGTGATGTCGCCCCACTTGTGTTGTCACTTTCCCTGACTGAGAGGGAGCTGCCACCATTGCCAGTGACGTTGGTGACCCCATGCATGGCTTGCAATGAAGGGACCATGGCCACAGGCTGCTTGGGCTAGAGGTCATGCTGTGTCCGGAGGCCAGAACGCTTGGAAGGAGGGCGGCAGGTCGGCAGCTGGCTGGGTCGGGCCTGCCGCTGGCACGCGGTCAGTAGACAGCGGTCGCCGCCACCGGCAGCCCCGCCCCTCATCTGCCTCAGGACGCCAAAGCAGCTCGTTTCCACTTTGGGTTGGCATTGCCCAGGCCGGGGACGAGCGGTGACCATTTAGGGTTGATACCTGGGTCTCCTATCTCATGGTGAACCCTTGCTTCCCGAACAACTTTCCTAGCAGCTCTCTTATAAAAGGCCGCTCCGGCGCTGACTCCCGGGGCGTTTCCCGGCGGCTCCCCTGTGACTCGGGCTCCAGCCCCAGGCAGCAAACGCAGCTTGATTTCAGTGACGGGATGGGCTGTTGAGCGGACAGGGCAGGTGCATGAAACGTGGCTTGGGAGGGTGGGAAGGTCACTCTGGGGGTTATTTTCATTGCCCCACATAGACAGACATAGGATGTGTCCATGGGGACACACAGGAAGAGCAGGTCCACCTGTGAGACCGCTGTCCCCTGTAGCTCCCAGCAGCAAGCAAAAGCCACTGAGGTGAGCTCTGATGCCACTGGAGAGCATCAGCCAGGGGCCCTTCCCTCTCCTCTCCGCACCGGTCACATCCTCCACTGTGCCCGTCCTCTTCGGCCGCCGGAACCTGCCGCGGACTTGGCGGTTTAGAGCACCACCGCGTATCTGTTACCTGGCAGTGCCATTGCCGAAGTCCGAGGCCGGGTTTCCTCGGCTAACACCGAGGCAGCCAAAAGGCCGGCACCCCTTCTGGAGGACTGAGGGCGAACCTACTTTGTGCTGCCTCCGAGGGCCCACACTTGTCGGCCGGTGCCCCCCGCCCCACCTTCAGAGCCAGCGACATTGCATCTCCGCGACCTTCTGTAGTCGCACCTCCTTCTGACCCTTTCCCTTCTACTTTCAAGACCCCTGGTGATTCCACTGAGCCCACCGGTCTAGTCCAGGATACCCTTCCTATCTGGAGGTCCCGAATCCTTAATCAGATTTGCAAAGCCTCCTGCCCTGTAAGGTAACCTGCACAGGTTCTGGGAGCGAGGGCGTGCACGTCCTCGGGGGGCCGCTATCCTGCCAACCCTGCTGCCTTCACCTTGTCCCCCACCCCACGCCCGCATCCGGCCTCCCAGGTGATGCCCCGGGGCGCCAGCCTGGTTTCAGTCCCCTCTGACCTCTCAGTGACTGTAGTCTCTTCACTGTAAATCTCACCTCTCACTGGGTCATTCCCACCGTCCTACAAACAAGCTGTAATACCTCCGTCTGGAAAAAGGGGAGCTAAGGCCTCCCCTGCCCCGACGTGCCCTGTTAGCCTCTGCCTCCTTTCTCTGCTCTAAAGCAAAGTTCCTCCTACATTCACGGTCTCCACTTTCGCGCCTCCCACCCGGCTTCCTTCCTCTCCAATCAAGCTGTTGTTCCCACCCCTCCGCTGAAAGAGGCCTGTCGAGACCTCCAGACACATCCCTGTTTCCAAATCCAGAGGTCCGGTCCCTAAGTTTCAGCACAGTCAACCTTCCAGCGAGGCACTCTGCACAGTCGTTGCTCCCTCCCTCCTGAGGCCCACTGCTCAGCTGGGCCCACCTCGCTGGCCTTTACTAGATGGCCCTCCCCTGCCTCCCACTGAAGGCCGGCCGGCTCCTCCGAGGCCGCCGCGTGTCAGCCCCTCCCCGCCGCTGCCCAGGAACCCCCTCCGGCCCAGTTGGCTGTTTCCTCCGGGTGCCCTCGGTCCCGGGCCCATCTCCATCCTTGTTGGCTTCCGTCTATCCTGTGCACTCAGTGTCTCCAATTCACAAAGCAGGGGTTGGGGGTGGGGGAAGCGGGGGGGAAGCACGACTGATTTTCACCCCTCAAACGCCCTGTTACTGTCCCCGTCGCTGCCACTTTCCGGCACCCAATTAGTTAGGCAAACAAATTCAGAAGTCACCCTCGATTTCTTGCATTTTCTGTCGTCCCACTTCCACTCAATCAGGTCCATGAGTTCTAGCTGTCCATCTGGGACATCCTTCCCGCCGACCGAATCGAGACAACCTCGTCTCGTCCTTAACCTGACTTGGGCAGCGGAACTAACTCGCCTCCCACTTCCCCGCGGAGGGCCAGTCCGCGGCCTTCGAGGTTCTGCCTGACCTCGGTCCCCCAGCTCTGCTCTAGCTAGGCTCCGGCCTTTCCCAGCGACCCGACAGCGGGGATCCGTCTAGGGTCGCTCAGCGCCGCGAACCTGCCTGTGGACCCCCGAGAGCCTGCAGTGCGGCAGGCGGAGGGTTTTAGGAAGCGCGGTGAGAAACTACAAAGCCGCACGAGTCCCGAGCGGACAACGCCTGAAGCTTGGAGCAGCTCAGCGCTTAGCAGTGCAGAAGCTGTGACCACGCCCCAGCGCCGTGGCCACGCCCCCGCACTGTGGCCATGCCCCCGCGCCGTGGGCACGCCCCCTGACGTCGACGCCCGGCTTAAGGCCATCCGCGGGGCCTCCTGGGAGTTGTAGTTCCCACCGTTCTACTTCCCTTTGTCAGAGGCCGCTGCAGGCCAAGCCGGAACTGCGGTTCCCAGAAGTCTCCCTGGGCCGGAAGCCACTCTTTCCTCCGCTGCGAGCTCGGTGGCAATGGTGGCAACCGAGTTCAAGGGCGGCTCTCTGACGGCCGCCCGCCTCCCCGGCCCCAGCCATCGTGAACTGCGTTCTCCCCAACATCCCCGGCACCGGGGGAGTATGCTATACAGGTGTCCGTGCCCAACAGCTCGTTTTGCGCGTGAGGAGACGAAGGCGAGAGGGCGTCCTGGCCGCGGGGCGGATCTGTGCCGGCTGCAGCCCAGGGCCGCTCGGACGGGCCCACCGCCGGACCGGTGCTACCGACCGCGGGTTACACGCGTCCTGCACGTCGGGGAATTAAAAGCTCCCCAGACGATTCGAAAGCCAACAGCGGCTGATATCCAGGAAGGAGGGAGGGTCTTAAGGGAATAAAATATAAGTTTCCTAGTATATATTTTTCTGGCTAAAAGTTTCAGAAAATGATTAAATAGGATTTGTGAGCCCAGGGCGGTGTGGCTCAGTTGGTTGAATCGATCTATAAAACAGGGTTCGATTACGGGTCAGGGCACACGCCTGGGTTGCGGGTTTGGTCCTCGTCAAGGCTCGTACCAGACCTATGATATTTATCTCCCTACCTTCCCCTCTCTCTTAAAAAAAGAATCGCGAGCGTGTCCTTGGATGAGGATAAAAAGATAATAAAGTAAATAAAACAAAAATACATGTCATTTGTGAAAAGTGCAATACTATATTCACACTAAATTTTGTAAAATTTACAAAATACACAAATTACAAAAATGTACAAAATACAAAAATTTTGTATTGCTCACTTAATGCCTGAGATGGGGGTCCAGGAAAGTAAGGAACCCAGAGGTCTGGACCAGGGTCTGTGGGTGGGCTGTGGAGGGGGGACATCGCTGCACAGGTGAGACCATAAAGAGCCTCAAGCATGGCAAGGAATTTGGATTTTATTCTAATTAAACAGGAAGCAATTGAAGGACTTAAAGCAGGGGAGGCAATAGCCCGAGTTATGTTTTTAAAATATCCCTCATTTTTCTGGAAAATCAATTGTAAGAGGACAAGAATCTAACAGAGGAGGCAGTCCCATTTGGGAAGAAAACACGGAGGCTGGTATGGGATCACAGTGGCAAAAAGGGACGTGGAGGAGGTTTGGAGGTAAACCAGGCAACACCTGCTGAATTGGATCTCTAGGAGTGTAACGGGTGTGGAACGAGGTTGAGAGCGGGATGTAGGCTGAGAGGCCCCAGCGCTCCCCACAAGCCTACTTGGGGGCTGGGAAAAGCAGCAGCACAGGGATTGAGGATTATTTTGCATAGCAATAACAGCAGGTTAACTCCCTCGTGCGCCCCGCAGGGGAGAGCGCCCCGACTACACAGGTGGCTGGGAGGTGGCTTCCCAGTTACAGCGCATGCGCAAGAACTTGGGGCTCGTTCGTTCCTCTCCTGGGGCCACGCCTGCCAGGACTAACTATGGCAGCGGATAAAGACAGTGAACAAGGGAGTGCTGGCAGGTGTAGCCGACGGTGGGAGGAGTCGGAAATGGAGGC